CGTTTAGCGTCATGCATGAAATGGTCAAAATTCAATAGTACACTTGACATACGAAGAGGGACACATGTTCTATGCATCTATCGGTCGAAGTAAATACGATAGAAGTTTTTTTGTTCAAAATAAATACGATAGAAGCCAAACCTGGAAAAGGCAAATGATAGGAACTAATAAAATGGGCTTAATCTTTCTGAACGCCGATTCGTTGTGTGTCTCGTCCTGAAGCAAACGGAACTAACTGATGCATTTGCATCTAGTTTACTCGCCTACTAGTAAATACTGACTGAGAAGTAGATAAGAATGTGAGCAATATCAATTTTCGTGTGAATTTTATGTTCAACCCGGTAGCAGTCATCAAATTTGTTTACTGTTTTGGTTTTGTTAATAATGATTTAACCCAACGCTGTGAAGCACAATGTTATTCAGATCCAAAACCTTTCAGAGTTCTGTTTGTCCCTATCGGAAGTTCACTAACGTTAATCATGAATGACGTTTGAAATGCCATTTTTGACAAATACCATTTCCAATATTTGGGTAAACCTTGTGACGAAATCATTTAATCAAATTTCCAAACTCTACCGTATGGATGCCGCTAGAGCATCATTTGCTGAATATCTTCCATTTACGATTCATGTTGTTGATTTAACCCTCTAATGCATTAATTTTTCCCAGAGCTGGGAGTACTGGTACTTCGTTGATTTTTGGCCATAGATAATTAAAAAAATATTCATAATCCTGGATTTTACATGAGCTAGTCAGGAAATGCGATTGACATAAATCAGAGAACAATCAAATCCATAGTTTAAAAATGTCAAAAATTTGTCTAATTTGGAAACCAAATAATTTATTTTGTCAAATTTTTGTTTTTGCACACATTTTTGTTAATAACTTTACAATCACACTACATAGACAAATATTGCCAAAGACAAAAATGAAGAGAAAACATTGACGAATAAAAATTCCCCTTGAAGCAATGTGATCCGATGTACTGTTTACGTTCTACAGACATTCAAATGATGCCCGTCTAGAGGTGGTTGTATGCATTAGAGGGTTAATGTATGCTTCCGGAATAAGAATTGACATCGTTAGAAGTTTTTTTTCTTCAATTTGATGATAAATGACTTTCGACACTCGAAACACCAAAATTTGTGGCTCTATAATTCTTTGCTGATGATAATACTGTTGCCATAACAGCTATTCATCCACAATAATGAGATTTAACCACACGATTCCAATGACTGATGTATTCAACGACACCATGTAATACATGCGAATTTTCTAAATTCGTGAAGGTGACGCAAGATTCATTGTGGAAGCACATGCAACTGATCTGATCAAAGTCATTGAAAAGTATCCTGGTAGGATTTGGTTCGTTTAAATAAAATCTACAAAACTATGTGAAAACAAATGAAATACAATCTATGCATAGGTCAATCAGAATTGACAATTATAGAAGATATTATAAGAGGCTTGTTCAAACACTCTATTTCGATGTAAATCAAATTAAAATAAATCCAGTTTGCTAAATAGTGCAGAAATTACAAAAAATCATATATGAGACGATCATGCGTTAATGGGAATAGAAAACCACCTATCTCACTTTAGCTGTGACTCTAAAATGCATTGCATGAACGTAGTACCTTTCTTCAGAGGCATAAGTTTATACAAATAAAGGTAAATTATGGGAAGAAGGATCGTTTATTAAAGAAATTGTGGCAACAATTGTTATATAAAACAGGTTTAAAATCTTTGAAAATGAAAAAAATGATTGAGAGTGCTTTGTTTGTTTGAACTTCGTTAGAATAATTTTTTTTAGCCAAATACAAATTTTTTTTAAAACAAAACTATTTATTGTCAGCTTGTTTGATGCTATATCTGGTTTTCCGATTGATTTTCACCGTTTTCTGCTTCCGAATCGCCTTTTTCTTCTGCAAACAGAAAATAAAAATGAAGCGAGAAAAAGAACAACAAAATTGTGGAAAATGCCCTTACCATTTGCATATTTAGTGCAATCGAATCTCCATTCGAATACTTCTGCCGCAACACCACAGGCAGCACGTTCGGATACACCGGCGCCATTATGATAGGTGAATACAAAAAAGTCCATCTATAAACCAGATCAATTTAATTTATTTTTGTTTTGTAAGTTCGAAATAAAAAAACAATACATACTAGCCTTGCCGTTTCCCCCTCCTTTCCAAAATTTGCCAATAAATTTTGAAATGTTTGTAAATAGTAATCAATTTTTCTTGCTTTTGAAGCCTCCACTCCCTTCGTTAATGCGCTCTTCAATTGTTGAAAAATCTCTTCTATCTTTGATTCAAATTCTTTTGGGGATTCATTCAGTAATGTTTTGGAGTAGTAATCTCCGAAACACTCAGAGAAAGTTCGATTTTCGGTTGGAATATCTCTGCCAAAACCATGAAAATCCCTCTCCAATTCAAACATGCTTTGATTCACCTTTGCAAAGTCTAGGTCAAATAACAGGCTGTAGTAACGCGCCTAAAACAGCATTTTTTTCCCAGAAAATATGATTAATTCTATGAATGATTTATAAATTCATTTCGAGTACATACCGTGCTTTCCACTACAACACTGAATGGATTAGAGCCATCAGTTTTCTTCGTAATATGAATTAGCTCATCAACCCTTTGTAAATTGACACCCGGAATCACTTTCAATCTTTCCGAAATTTCTAAATACTTCGCTTCCCAACTTCCAGTGGAAGATTCGTTTTTAGTTGTTGCTGGAGCACTCGAACATAGCTGAAATAGAATTCTCTTTTACTTTTCCCCTGAACAAAAGCTAACAAAGTGAACAATAGTCAAACCTGGGCAAAGCCAATGACAGTAACTAATAAAAGGAGCTTCATCCTGCTGAATGTTGGACGATTCGTTGTGTGTTTCTTTGAAGAGCAAACAGAACAAACTGATACACCTTCAAATCTTTTGCACTCCTAAAATACTGACTGAAAAGTTGATAAGGATGTGGGCAATATCTGCTTGTGAGAGTTTTAAAAATTCAACCCGGTCGTTATATTTGTTTACTTTTTTGTTTTGTTTTTAATGATTTCTTGTTTGCTTTCGTAATGAGAATTGACTTTGTTCGGAAATTTTTTACTTTGATAACAAATGGCTTTCGACATTCAAAACACCAAAATTTGTGGTTGATTATTTCTTTGCTGATAATAATATGGTTGCCATAAAAGCTACTCATTCACAATAATGGGATTTAAGCACACGATTTCAATGACAGATGTATTCAATGACACCTTGTACTGCTTTTATCGTAATACGATAGCTTGAACAAAAAATACATTGCTTCTTATGGAGGCTAAATGGATGGATTTTTGTAATTTTCTAGTGAAAATATTTTAGAATGATGGAATATTTCGAACTTTAATACGCTTTTCTGCTAATTTATCCAAACTCACCTCTTAAGTGGTAAATTAAAACCAATAAATATTTACACATCGAAATATCTCGAAAACGGCTGGGAAAATCGGCAAAATGGACCGGCTGGTTTGATGGCCCAAAGTTCAAATCCAGTGGATTCGGGCTGATCCATGGGTTCTCAGGATTTGGTCTGATTCCCAGCTTTTCCTTTCCTGTGAGCATCTTTACAAGTCACACTCATGTTTTGTATGGAATTTCACCACAGGGCAAGTGCTGGGATCAGGCCAAATCCTGAGAATCCATGGATGAGCTCAAATCCACCGGATTTGAAGTTTGGGCCATCAAACCAGCCGGGTGTCTACACTCCCTTTAGGGAAAGACACTACGATCCATTTTTCCGATTTTCCCAGCCGTTTTTGAGATTTTTCCATGTGTAGTTTAATGAGAAAGATATCCGCCATGACAGCATTTTAGCCCGTCATGTTGCTATTTTGGTTTATATTGACAGAACATTCTCTACTTTGACAGTCAACGTTTCTAAACGTAAACACAAATATTATCTGTCATAATCACATTCACCACTTCTAATGTGCTTCAGAGAGATTTTTTCTGCCGCATTTTCATTCATGCTATCGCCTTATGGCTTTTATGGATTTTCCAAGTTCGGTGATGATGAAGGCCACTTGAGATTCATAATGGCATTGGCACAACACGCAACTAACCAAATCAAAAACTTTCCAAAGTGGGACTTGATTCGTTGAAACAAAAGCGACACAATTTTCCAGACGATTTTATTTTCGACCAGTATGTACTACATCTAAATGACAAAAATGAATTTACAAAGCATGAAAAGCGTTCAATAACCTTGAACTTCCATTAGACAAATTGTTGCTCATTCTTTTATAATATACATTTAAGGCGTTGGGATGAGAGCCAGTACAAAAATCCACACAGAGAAAATGTTCATTGGGTACGATTGAATATGGACGGTGAGTGCGAATTCAACTCTTGGATCGGAGTTCAGGTAGATTTCGGTGGCTTTGACGCGTTCAATAATTTTCGAGATACTAACGTACGGCATGTTAATCGGATAGCCACACATTTTATACTTTGACTGTGTGCTCTCGTACAATTTATTGGTGTAGGTTTTCTGTTCGACGCCAAAGCATTGATCTTCTTCTAATTCCTGGAGAATTTGTAGCATCACCTCGGTGTATCGTTTGTTCCAAATCGTTTTGCGTTCCATTCGCCAGCTGCGGAACTTTTTCATGATTTTCGTTTCGATGCTGTGCTTCAAGTTGCTGCTATCCAAACTGTCGGTGTATGCAAGTGTGAGATCATGTGCCAGATCATTTGGTGCTGGTGTTGATTTTGAGAATAGCTCACGCCATTCGGTCGTTTGACTTGTATCGAAATTTTGCATAAACACACGGTTCTCGCGTTGAATATTCGCCCACAAATTCTTCGAATTCGCAATGCAATAGACTTTCGTTAGGGCGCAAAATGTGTCGCGACTGGAGCACTTCCTTCCCGAATGTGGATCAATCAGAAAGTATTCATTGTTTTCCTTCGTCAGTACGAACGTGGTGTCGCCGTACGGTACCGCTAATCCCATCACCAAATATGCGTTGAAACCGAGCGACAAGTAAAAACAAGTCAACAACACACCCAAATCTTTTGGCGATGCGATGAGAATGTTCAGAATTTGCTGCGAAAAAGTATTCGAGAAAAACATTGAATTCATAATTCAATAATTTGACATTAGAATGCTGGGACTTACATCATTTGTTAGCCAAACGCCGTTCAGTTTAGTGCACACATTTTTGTGCGGCCGAACTGGGATCAAGGAAACAAAGCGACGAATCATATACTCCGACGTTTCGTTCCGTTCGAATGGAATGTCAATTGGGCCAATTAAACGTGTGATGCAAACTCGTTTCCCATTTGCTAAACTGATTAATGGATCCTGAGCTCGGTCGGGAAATTCATCGGTTATTTCGGATAACCATAGACCAATTCGATTTTTGATGGCAGTCAATTCGATACACTCGAGATGAGACGTTGAAAAATGTGTTATTTCAATGATTGGCTCAATGCTGATGAGCAGAGATATTAAAATCGATTGACGCGTTTCGATTAAACCTCCATTCGCTTCGGCACTATGGTCTGACACATTTACCACTGGCTTCGTATAGCCCAGCAGAATTAGTGGCGTGCTCATTTCGAACGTTCCTTCAATCTGGAAGAGGAAAAGTGTTTGATTTTTGGTCAAAAATACATATTTTACCTTTTAAACAATGAGCATACCCGTTGACTAGCGTAGATCGTGCTGAATGGAATCAACAATTCGCCCAAGTAATGACTCGAAATCTTTTGATAAATCTCAGATGTTGGTGTCATCATATTGTCGTTTGACGGCAAATCTTCGATTATTTCATCGTACATGTGAAACCATAGCGAATCTTTGATTCTATTGATACTTTCGCTGAAAAATTGTTGAAACAAGAGGTTGATTCTCTGAAAACTCCACCCTAAATCTATGTGATTGATGGTTCAAATTAAAGTAAACCAATTCCCAAGACTCACTTGATCGGAATTACAATCTGTTCATTCCAAGTTGGACTGGATCCATCAACTGTTGATGTTCGCAATGTTTTGTCACGGAAACTAGCCGTTACAAATGGCCTCACGTTTGCATGACGATGAACTGTGGAAATGAATAAAAAGGTAAATAAAATTGGAATTTCCCATACTTTTTATCCGATATAGAAGAAAAACAAATGGTCTTTTCAATTTCATCCTTACGATTTTGCATAGCTGACCCCAAGCTGGTTCTCCTATTAACATTCACGTCATTCGAATTACGAAAGGGTATTCCACTGGCTCGAACAACGTTCACAATGATGTTGAAGCGATTGACGCGATCTTCATGGAAGTTTGACTTGCGAATGAGTGTTTTGCGGTGTGGATTGAGTGGTCGCCGTGGGCTGAAAATGTTCGTAAATGCTTCGAGTGCACCATGAAGCGTTGGTGGTGTGTCACCGATCAAAAGGTCTCGATGTTCATAATTGCGATTAATCACTTCACAATGGTTGGTGATGATATCGTAGACGTGTTTCAAATACTTTTTGCCTTGATATCGTTGCACATCAATTGGATCGACCCATAGCATATCTTCGAATATCTTTAAATCTACTGGAATCTCAATCTCAACTTCATTATGCGGCACCAGTTTGCAATCCTTCAATTTCAAATCACTATTGAAACGGGCATTCAACAGCTCAATGCGTTTGTTGTCATTCAGTTTATCACGATCACAAAATGCATACGAGTCTTCGTTTAAACGGAATAAATTCTTCTTTGTTTCGGCCTTTTTAGGGCTCTTGGTACCGGTTGAAAGTGTTTTTTCCATCGCAGAAGCGAGGGCACTGTTGTCGGGATCCATTGGATCAATCAGCTGATCTGAAAACCATTGACCAACCGTTCCTTGGATGGGTGCTGGTTTTGCCAATGGCTGTAGTGCAACTGATTTCAAGTGCTTCGCATCTCCATCGGACGATGCCCAACCAATCGAACACACTATTTTTCCAACGTATTTTCGTCCCGCTGTACTTTCAAAGTCGATGAGTGACACCGCCGTCGGGGCAAATATTTCGGCCTCATTCGGCGTTTGGCTGTGAGCCTCAGCGATCCGCTTTGGAACGACCAAATTTGTTTTTTCAAAGATCTGCAAGAGTGGATAAATGAAGATGAAGATGGTCAATTGAAGACAATTGTGAAAAATTGGGAAAAAACGGAAAAATCACGAAAAATGAATAAAAAACTAGCCAAAGCCAAATCAAATCTCACCAGAAACTTAAGTTGATGCGAAATTTTCGTGGTAAATTTTATGGAATAAACGGCATTAAAGCTGGCCTGTCCAACGCTGTTCAGTTTTGTACTTTCGGGAAAATCCAATTGACCATCGTCAAGAATGAGTTTAATCAAATATTTCGGAGGACTTTTAATTGTGGCGGTGTTGAAGTTTTCCATTTCAAAATCGATAATTTTCTCGCCGGGCGGACGCATTGAATCGGCAAAAATGTCCAACAATTGCTGTTCAATTTGTCTTGCATTGGGCTTAGCAACCTCAACCGGTTCATTCTCTTGATCTTCATAGTTTTGAATATCAACTTCTGATTTTGAGCCTCTTTTACTGTTCCGTTTGCGTTGTGCCTTATATTTTTTATACGATTCCGTTGCTTCATCCAACATTTCCTTGAATTCTAATCCAAATCGTTCGCTCCATTCATATTCGTCTCTCTCCACGTCTGCTTCTTGCGCTTTAATTATCAATTTCAATGAAGTGGCAGGCTCTGTCACCCCGTCTCTTATCTTCTTCAACTCTGCCCATTTTTCCAGAATTGTTTTCATCAGTTTGCGATAGCGTGCACTTTCCGTGTGCCAAGTCGTGCGCAATTCTTTCAATTCATCACGATGAATTTGTAAACTATCTACCGTCGATTGTTTTTGGTGCTTATTTTTCGACACCGTTTCGAGGAGTTGCCGTAGAATTTTCAATTTCGTTTCGATTTTCGATAAAATATTATTCTGTTTAATTGTCACATATTCGTCGTACAACGACTCAAGCTCTCGAGCGATCCGTTGTTCGTTGTTGAACGTTGGGTGTATATCGAAGTAAATGTGTTTGATGTGAACCTTTAAAATGCGATCTTGCACCGAGAATGCGTCCAATTCGAGGCAAACGCTCGTCGGTGGATAGTCGATGGGATGGAATTTTTCGGCGCAAAATGTTTTGATGGCTTTTCGACTCAATGCCATATCGAAAAGGTATTTAATGTCTTTCTGGCTAAAGTCAAACCAATTCAATGCTCCCTCTTCCAACAGGCGATTGATAAAAAGCGCACGATTCATGTCTAGAATCTTCGGTTTTGGTTTCACAAAATACCCTTCTTCGATGACATTTCGCACAATTGGTACCTGGCCCGCTGATGATTCCACATCTGCTGGAAGTTGCTTTGGCAGTGCCAATTCGGGATAATAAAACTGTTGTTCATCGAATGAAGCGATGACCTTTTGGTCAAATGGCACCACGACCGTTTTGAGCTCAAGCTCATCATGTAGGTAGGACAACGCTAATTGTGGTCCATCTTGATAGTTTTCGGCCGTCGTTTCTGGCGATGGCATAATCTCTATTTGATCATCGTTATTTGGTTCGGAAACGCGTTCCACCTTGGCTTCATCCAACGACAAATTTGATGTGAAAAACTCAATCGCTCGTTCCTTTTTCAGCGCAAATTCCGAGTCTTTGGTCAAATGCTTGAGCAACATTGCCGTTTCGATTTCCACATCTTCGTTAATGAACTTTGAATTGACTCGAGGTGAAAAGGTGGCCTCTTTGTCGTTGTACTCGAGTTTATCATCCACAGACTCATCGTCGTCCACATACAAATTATTCGAATCGACAGTATTTTGAGCTTGTACCGAACGCTTGTGACGACGACGACGACGGCGACGACTCTTTGGTGCAGACGACAACATCACTCAAAATGCAAAATATTTCACTTTTTCAGCAATAAACACACTTTATCATCATCTTTCAAACAAAACAAAAAAATTATTCACGATACACACAACATTTCATTCACACGTTTGTTTACAAATTTTGGATTGTTTTGTTATTGCTCGCGCCGTTGCTATGGACAACACTGTCATTGCTATGTAACGGATATGTTAACAGTTCACACAAAAACATACGCCACACTTACCGTTTGGTAATGCGGCCCAATTGATTTGAAATGGAGGCGGCATGCATTTGTATACGCCATGGAAAAATTTCAACTCGAATTTAACGAATAGGAAAAAATTTGATCATACTTTTTTCAAATCAATATTTGCTATGGGTACAATGGAAACAGATCGAAACGGGTAAACAAGCTGCAGACTTTGTTGACTTACTACTTACTTTCGATGACGAACATTGAAATAGTTGAAATTCTTTTTATTCCACGAGCCAAAAATCCATAAATAAACTGAAGCTGGTTCTGAACCGAATGTTCATATCGATTTTAGCATTCTGAGTTTTTTTCTAGTTTCAAAACGAGCAACATCGTCGTCTTTGTTCAGAGATATTGCTATTTCCTGCTCAAACAGTCAGACTTTCCCTTTGAAATTCCCATGGGTTTTCCCTTGGATTTCTCATGTTATAATTTCTGCTCTTTTTCTAAGAATCCATATTTTTCTTTCAAAAATTCGTATTTTTCGTGAGAAAACCGATTTTTCGTGAGAAAACCGATTTTTCGTGAGAAAACCGATTTTTCTCTAAATATCTTTTCTCGACAATTTTCAATTTTTTGCACGAAATCCGTATTCTTCTCTTTAAATATTGAGTTTTTCCTCTCAAAAACGATTTTTCTTCTTTTTATCCGATTTTTTTTCATCTTCTGATGAGAAACAAAAGCGAAAATTTCTTCAATGCCATTTGTTGCAATCATTCATTTTCATCGGCCAACAAAACGCTCAATTCAATGTTCTGAATCATTTCAAAAACTGAATACGCCGTTTTTCTGTTGTGTTGATTTTACGGTAAAAAAAGTGTGTGCGGCATGCTTATCTAACCAGAAGCAGTGTGTAACGTTTTGAACTCGATGCGGTCATCTGTGTGTTTGTGCCATATGTTCTCTCGCTCTCTCTCTATCTCTCTGTGCAAAATTAATGGTATGCGTTCGGCAAAATAGACAAACATAAAAAGTGTCGTGCTCGGAATTTCTTTGAATCTATCTATGAGTCGGTGTGTCGCACTGCGATCGTTGTCTGTGTCAGTTGTGTGCGAATCAAATGAATAATTTGGTTCTGTGTCAATTGACAAAATTCTTTTGAAAATGACCCATGATTTTATTTCGGTGAATTTGCCTATGAACGTGACTTTTCATCAAATCATCGTAATCATCATCATCGGCACCTTCACTGACCAATACTTGAGCGCACGTTAGAGAGCGAAAAAAGCGCTGTCCTCCAAATATATAAATATTTCTATAGAAATTACATTGGACGAAGCGAACGCATGCGAAATTTCCTTGTACACCAACTTACAAAAGAACCAGAGAAAAAAAAATGAACGAAAGAAGAATGAGCGAGAACGGCCAGTGATTCAAAATATTTTTATATAGTATCAACAGAAGTGTGAAGCGTGTGTATATTCTGCGTTTTCGATATTCAGCGTTGACAATATTTTGATAATCATTCATGATCAACGCTCCAGTTCAGCGTCGCACAAAACGTGTTTCGGTCACACAACCGAACTGTTCTGGCTGTTGTACCGAAAAAAAGAATTCGCTTTTAAAAAAGCTAGTCAAAACAAAAAAAAACTAACGCGTTCATTTGGTCAAATACGAGTGAATAGTTCGTTGAAACGGAAGTGAAACTTAATTGAATTATTGCAAATGTTCAAAGGGATTTCCGCTTGAAGTTCAAAATCGACATTGGTTTTTCAAAGTGTGAATGTAACAAAGTGAGTTTTATTTGAAATTGAATTAAAAAAAACTGCGTTTGAAATAAGTGTGTGCAATTTTTTTGATTACACATTTTCAATGTCTCTCGAAACAAAAGAGTGTCGCGAATGAGGAGAGAAAAAAAAACAAATTGATAAAAAGTTCGTTATTTTGAACGATGTGAAATAAACAAAAGAAACAGAATTATGTAGCATGGAAGCCACGCGAATCTAGATCAAAAGCATTTTGTTTTGTTTTATTTTTCGCTCAGTGTACATGTACACACAATCGAGGCAATTATCAAATTGAGCGATTAATTCATCGCATCGGCGGGGGAAGAGGAGAACGTCACTTGAATAATCAATCGCACACGCTTTCTTTTTATATAAAACAATACAAAAATTCTGAAACTGAAATTCTTTCGATTTTAACATTTTTTTGCGTTTTACCTATCGAACTGATCAATTAGTTTGCTTAGCACATTCACGTTTCGCTTCTTCTTTTTCCCCTACATTTCGGCTGACTGCTTAGATAATTTCGGTGTTTACTCGGTCGCATTCGCCAAAACTTGACAAAAAGAATGCCATTTATCACATTTACACACCAAATTTCGACTGAACAACCGAAGTTTTTTTTTCACATTGTTGGTCGCTTGGCGCACTCTATTGTTATCATTTTCATTGATAAATTACGATAGTTTTTGTCATTCTAATTCTTTGTAATAATATTGTTAAAGCAGTAGAAAAAAAAATTCTTCAAAACCCGGAACTTTTGTATGTTTAAGAACTTTTGTCTCTGTTCAGAGAAAAACGTATGATTAAATTGAAAAACTGAATTAAAGTGAAAAAAAGACTATTTTTCGACTAAAGTTCAGTCAATAAACAAAGCTTTTTAGTCAAAAAACCGTTTTGGGGAATTTTTCTTTGAATATCTAAAAAAAAAACTTCCTAAACTAAATAGTCTGTGCGTGTTTTGCAGCTAAAAAAATGTGAAAATTCAACTTTCAATAATCGAAAAAAAAAATGGTTTTTGTACAGGTTTAAAAGAAAAATGCCAACACCATCAAATACACCGACCCCGAATCGTCTGTTGGCGATGCATGCAAATCGGCCACGAATCAAAATTCAAATCCCACCACCGAATCCCCAAGGCAATTACTTCGATGCTCGATCTCCTTACCTGAGCACAGCGCACAGCAATCAACCAGGTGCACCACAATGGCCATCCTCACCGTACGTAAACCCATTCTCACCGGACAAAGACTCACTCACAGCTGGCGAATTTATGTTCAAACAATTCGGTGGCTTCAAAGACTTAACATGGGATTGGACGAAATCGGGACTGAACAAGGGCGAAAAGTCCGTTTTTTACTTCTATGAAAAGATCAGCAGATGGTCCCGAAAATGGTTTACCCATATATTTTTGGTGTTTATCATGTTCTTGTACACCATCGCGGGTGCTTCAATTTTTATAGCTGTTGAAGGTGAGCACCACACACTGTGTGCAACAGATTGAAAACTCAAGTTGAACATTCAATGAACTAATTTAAATGTTGATTCATCCAAATTCTTCATAGTAAATCTAAATATAGTATTAACTCAAAATCTAGACATATTCAGATGAACATATGTTATTAATCGAATTAATCGCATCAGTAACTGTTTCAATTAACAAGTTCAGTGTTGTTATTTCATTTTGACGTACCTAACAAAAGCTTATAACGGTTTTATGTCTGAGCTTTGCCGCAAATGGAGACTTTTTAATCAAATACAACGAAGATATTGAATCATTTTTCAACATACGGTAAACAAATTCAATCTGTTTTCATTTTTTAACCAATTTTCATTATCATTTTCACTTCAATAATGAAATTTCATTCATTTCACACTTCTAAACTAGATTGTTTGAAATGAATCATTTCTGTAACGAAAATTTCCTTTAGTTTTTAATAGCTAGGCTTAAATTTTCTGGTCATTTTTTGGATTTGAATTTTTGGATAAAAGAAAAACTCACCCCAAAAACACAACAATTTCTTTCTACCGATTTTTGGTTTAAAAGTTCGATCAAAATTTTTTGATTTTGCTTTTTGGTTTTGGTTTTGCAATTTTCGATGTGGGAATAATTCCCACCGGAATTGTTATATTTTCCCTGAAATGATTCCAGAATAAAAATGGGATCCGTCTGTTCATTTTCATTATCATTTGTTTGAGTTTTTGCAATTTGTCAATTTTCGTTTTGCTTCTTCATCCTTTTTTTTCCTGTTTCACTGGCTTCACTTTTCCAAAATGTTCCTTTCATTTTTCAAGCCTAATCACATTTTCAATTCACAGGCAGAGCTCAAGAGAATTCAACGGCCAAATTCAACAATTTGAAAAAGGACTTCAACATGAAAATGTTCCATTTGTCACATGCACCTGAGTTACGGAAGGTAATTTGAAATGACTCATTTCCAGCTTCTAAGATCGAAGTGTTCAATCAACACCATTAATATTTAATTCGATAAAATTATCAAATTATTTATTTCGTCAAGCAAAATCATGGAAAAAGATGGTAGAAAGTTGGTTCATTGAAGAATTATCTGAGTTGATAAGTTAACTTCTATAAGAAAAATTATCCAAAAGAAAATATTCAAGTAAAAGTGAAGTAAACAGAAAAGTAAGGATAAACCAGGGAAATAATCAGAAAAGAAACTTTCAATAGCAAAAACAAAAGCGCTAAAAAGTCATCACACCTCTCGAACAATTACAAAACCATTGGCTCATTCATCATCAAAAGTAAGCGCTATTAATCCAAATGACGTCTGTCAAATTTCGTTCACAGAACTTTACAAAATGGGAAGAGATTGCAACACGTGAGATAAATCAGCTGCAAGTTGACTTGATAGCACTGTACAAAGCTGGCTATTTCGATGTGGATAAATATTACTACGAAAAAATCGAGGAGGAACGTAAGCAGAAGCACAAAACATGGTCATACTGGAATGCGATGTTCTATTGTGGCACAATTTACACAACCATTGGTAGGATATCAATCATCATCATTCGATATTAGTCTCATAAAATCAATGCCATGCTCTGTTTTGTTGAGTTTTTGTATGTATTTCATTTTATATCAGTTATAATGAGGTCTGAATTATGTGCTCATTAGTTGCGATATTAGACGATCAATTTTGTGTTATGACGTGTGCGTCGAGAAATGTGCGTGGTCGTCAATGAAAATTCGGTGAAGATGACTCAATGAGAAAAGAGAGAAAAGAAAACACGAACGAAGACATATAAGCGACAGTTGCAAAATATCCACAAATATTGACACGTCACATTCAAAATGTGATGTCTATTCAAATGTTGACCGCATCGCTACAAACGTTATCTGTGTCGCATTTTAGGCCGTCGAAGCACGGTGCGTTCTTGAGTTCAAATTCAAAGAAAAGTTCGAATGAACAACCCAATTCAGAAAATTCTATCATTACATCGTTGTACGGAGTCAGCGAGAAAATGAGAAATAGATAATGCCGATAGAGTTGTTGCCATTTCTACGGAATACTTTCTATAAATACGACATTTTTTCTTATAAATACATTCTTATATTCCGTAGGCCAGAAGCCTATGCGCTAAAAATATGTCATCTATTGCTTCGTCGCAGAAAGCATCGAAGCTTGAGAAAGAGAGGCAGAAATCAAAATTTCGGTTAGGCAATTGCGATTTGTGAATAGCATGGGTCGATATGATATTGGAACACTTTCGAAAATATTGCACTCGTTTAACGGACAAAATCAAACGATTTTCAAAACATTGTGCACTTGTAACCGAACAAATCCAATTATATGGGCAAAATGCATAGTTATCTTCGATTCTCTCTGGTTATATACGTGTGAACACACTGACCGTTTTGAGAAAAATGCGCCGAGGCTAAAAATAGCCAACCATATTTATTATACGTTACGTTTTTACACTCGTGCTCTGCCGCTTGAGTCCAATTCTCTTTTTTTGTTTTCGCTTTTTTGTGTTCATTTATTGATTCATTTTTTCTTTCTATCTCTCGCTGGGGCCGTTTCGTTTGATTTACATGGTGAAAATGAAGCGATGTTTTGTTTCTTTTTCGCTTTCACTTTCGTTTCGATGTGCTTTTTGCCATTTGTCTCTTTTCTGCGTGAAGCCTCTGTCGTATGAGAAAAGCCAATGGATATATGCTATGCGCTCATGTAAATGTTCATTTTCAAAGTTTCACTGTCATCGTTCTACTGTTTACTACTACAACATGTTTAAACCATACGGATTCACATCTTATCGTAGCCCATTTTAGTTTTATTTTCTTCATTTTTTTGTTCGTGGTTTGCCAAAACAGACATTTTTTTCCTCGTTGATTTGCGAAAAGAAAACAACTGTCGAAAAGGTGTTCGGCGAAAAGAAAATAACGCGACGAACATTTTCCGAAGTCAAACTGTGTGATTTCCATCTCAAAACAAGTGAACACAAAAAATCGGTGTGGAATTCTCTTTTTTTCATTCATTCGGTGAAATGTTTTTCGTGAAATGCGTTTTCAATCGAGTGCTCCGAATATGGGAATTGCAACGACAAACGTAAAAACAGTGTGCTAAAAGAGTGTATCGTGTTTGTTATTGTTATTTTTTTTTGTTCCGGATTTTCTGTTTTGCTATTGAAAGATTACTATCGATAATTGGTGTGAATAAGTGACACGATGAATGAATCGAATTTGGATGCCCCGGCCTTAGTGCGACGACGGCGCCGCATTGCGCGACAACAACGCGAAAAAACGCCGGAACCCATTGCTAAAACGATGGGTGGCATTAAGCCGAAATTTTCGGATGATGAAAGTAGTAGCACAACAACCACGACAAATGAATATGAAAAGAGACGCACAAATCCGGCCATGATACTGGGCACCACAAGGGTGAAGGTGAAAACTGCATCGAATAGCAGCGCAGGTAGTGGCAATAGTAGTAATGTGGCGTATAGAGAGAAGATTCTGAATCGGCGGGATCGAGCCAGTCGATCGGCAACAATTGTTCGAAGTCAATCAACACCTAGGGAAATACCACCAGATTCACCGACTCCGGAAAGTAAATCACCGAGTGACACCAGCGGCAATGTTGTACGATTTCTACGGAAAGCCAAACGAAGTCTATCGATTCCAAGGTAAAATAATGTGTTTTGGTTTGAAATTCGAATATTTTGGGGTGAAAAAACAGTTTTTGAGCCAGAACAAAACACTTTTGGACCGAAATGAACTTTTGAGCCGGACTTTGGGCTAATCTTTCGGCTCGCTTCCGACTTCTCTCCAGAACTCGAAGCTTCTGAACGAAAACAGAAGAAAATTCGGGCCAAAAATGAAAATCGCTTTTAAAACCTAAATAAAATCAATTTCAGTGAACATTTCTATCACTTTCAGGCGTCGCCGTGATGTAGCCTGTGAAACTTCACCAATTCGTGGACATGATGAAGTCATCAAACGCTATGTCAAATCGCCCATTGTAAAAACCGAATCGAAAATGGATGCGGTAAACGGACGCGATGAAAATAGCCGGCTCACAAAATTGGAAATGAATTTAAAGCGATTCGAAGATGAGCGAAAAGTATTCGCTTTGGAACGAGAGAAATTCGAGCGTGAAAAGCGGCATATGGAACAGATGCGATTCCAGCGTCTGCTTGAATTCGAACGAAAGCGATCGATGCAGCAAAGCGACCGTGAGCAATTGGCCATTGAAGCGGCCGCAATTGCATTGGCTGAAATTGAAAAGCAGAAAATCGCCATGCGACATCGACGAAGCAAATCTCGTGGATCATCATTTACCGGGAGCACAACTGAAGCGTATGGTGATGATTATGAATCGTCAACAGCCACTTCGTCATCGTCACGTGATGATGATTTCAAAGACCATGAATTCGCCAATGAAATTCCGTTCGTGAATTTTGACGAGCCGGTTGATATTGACCCCGTCCCCACATTTGAAACGAACAATGTTCATGTGCCGACCATTGAAGAGCCAATCACAACGGATGAAATACCTAAACAGTCACTATTCTTATCACGGTTTCTTTTTGGCAAAGCACAACCAAAGAAAATGACGCCAATTCCAAGCCGTAAGACTTATTTGAGAACACGTGTCGATGATGGCGGCCCAATTTCAGTCCGTCGCATTGTTTTTGTTGAATCTCCACTGGTTTGGCAACAAGTTATTGAATTGCATCAACACGAATGGAACCAAATGATGCGCATTCGTAATCGATGCATCGCTAATTTCTTGCTATTGTGCATATTTTTCGGCTTCGGTGGATTAATGTTTCGGTTCGTCGAAGGTGCTTTTGAGAATTTCTACAAGTGCGGAGTTCGACGTGTCAAACGAGATTTTGTCGATCATTTGTGGACATCGAGCCATGATCTAAGGTTGGAACAGATTTTTCGGAATCTCAAGATGACATTTTGAGATTCAAATTCTAAAGTCAATTTTGAACAACTTCAACTTCTGTCATTTATTTCGTGATTTTCACAGTGAAGACGATTGGAAGTCGTTGGCTCGCACCAAATTACGAGGATTCGAAGACGAATTACATACCGCACATGAAGCCGGATTCAAATCGTACAGTGGATTAAAATCATGGACATTTATTAATGGCGTCGTTTATTGTATGACCGTCGTTACTACCATCGGTGAATTTTGTGCACTCTTTTTTCACACAGATTCATTTCTCAGCATTTAAAGAATATACTTTTTTTGATGATGTTGTTGATTTGATTTTTTAGCATTTCCAGACAGAAAATCATCTGCCCTTTTTCGTTGAAAAAAAATTTAAATTCATTTTATTATCAAAATGATTTTGACAAAACCTGTCTCCAATTTCACCTTCGAAGAATTTTTTTTTATGTTTGTTTTTTTTTACTTTTCCTCACTTTTTCTGCTTTTTTCTCTGGCTTTCGGCAATCAATTTCATTATTTTAACTATCGATATTTTCAATCAAAACAATTGAATTGACAATAAATGTTTCTTCCTCCAGGATATGGCCACATCAGTCCATCAACGAATACCGGCCGAGCAATCACAATCATTTATGCAATTATTGGCATACCAATGTTCTTGATTCTACTGGCGGATTTCGGTAAATTATTCACGCGAGGTATCAAGTTCGTTTGGGCCTACGTCAGACGATTGTATTATACGGGATCATTGCGTCGAGTGAGGAAACAAGCACAAGTTCAGGTAAAGATCAGTGAAAATATATTTGTATTAATTTTATTCAACATAGAGCAATTAATCAGTAACTAAGTTCATTCAACTAAAAACTTGGCTGAAAAAACGACTTTAGTCGAACAAAGTCTATAGCAAAATTCGTTCAAAATTGTTGATTTTACATTCTATATCTCTATAAATTCCACCCATATATCTGTTTATTTTTGATTTGATGATTTAGCCTCTAGCCATTCAAGAATTTGTTATTTTCATAATTTGAATTGCCATAAAAAACCCGTCTTCTTGTCCATTTCCACAGGAGATGATTCGTGGCATGAGTATCGCTTACGATATAGCGACATTCAGGCGGCCGAGTATGTTGATGAAAGAGTCAGATATGGAACGAGCACAAACAGCATCGCCCAACCAATTGGGTGGCACAGTGCATAGTGAAACACCAACCACCCCAATGCCACCGGAAATGGCGATTGACGATGAATTCAATTTGCCAATTTCATTGGCGCTATTCATTTTGATTGCGTACATTTTATGCGGTGCTGCTGTCTACTCACTGTGGGAGGATTGGTCATTCTTTGAATCGTGTTATTTTGTGTTTGTTTCCATGTCCACAATTGGCTTTGGTGACTATGTTCCTCAGCATCCTGCCCGTATGATGGCCAGCATAATTTACCTGATCTTTGGACTCTCATTAACTTCTATGTGCATCAACGTTGTCCAGGTCAAACTTAGCGATAGCTTCCGGCATGCAAGTGCCAAAATCGGTGCCACCATTGGCTTATCCTTGGCCGAAGAAGAAGCACGTAGCTCACAAAATCTCACACCTGCTCCGGAAAATTCGTCCGTTCATTCATACGGAAAGAACTCACCATCAGATGATCCAAAACTTGCCGTTGATGGCGATACCTATGACAATGCCGAGGTGCGCGATGGAAAAATCATAACCGATATCAAGCAGCAACCACTTTCACCAAATTCTTCCGATAAAAAGGATATCAACAACAAAGTTAAGCACATTTGATTTGTGCACATCATTTTTTTTAGAAGTACTTTACTTTAATTTTGCGTCGTTTTTTCTGTTGAAAATTAAGTTATAACTTTTTTGTTTGGATTTTGTTTTTATTTTCAAGTTTTCCTCATTGTCAATAAAAAAAATTATACTGTTTATTAAATTAATTCTTGTTTAAGTTGGTTGGTTTCATTTTCAACATTTGAATGGACTAAGAACTCTGTATCAAAGAAATATAGCTGCTTGGCTGTGGGCATGAGTGACACGGTGATTTGGTGACAGATTTGACTGTTAGATCAGTCGAACTGGTGGACAAAGAGGAAAAAATCGCTAAAAAGGGATGGAAATAGACAAAAAGAGGCATCAGGAAGCATCATAGATGATAAAAGAGAGAATGGGACACATTGGACTTGTATAATTTTTCAAAAATACTAAATCTTTATTTGTATTGTGTGTTTCATCTGTTGAACACCTACTGAGTTATGACTTGTTTTGTCTTTTGTGTGTTTTTAAACTCTTAGTAATAGATTGTTCATTCAGCATGAATCCTGTTAAGGTAATGTTTTCATTCGAAATGGAAAACTTGTGCTACAAGTCCCTCATTTTCGATAATATCACTGGATGTGTGTTTTAATTTTGTTCCGAAAGACTTCTCTTCGTTTTATCAAACAAGAAAAAATTTCATGATTTTAACGAGAAAACTTGAGTAAAAAAGGTAAAAAATAATGATTAAAAAAATGGAAAAAAAATTTATCAACTTTTTCCAAGTTGAAAAACCAAAACTAGCGCTGAGCAGCCCAACGCTCTAGTGATTGCGTAGTTTCTTTGTGCGTGATTTTCCGTTTTTGTCACGGGAAACGGTTGTGTAGCTGACAACACGGCCCAATGAATTGATGAAGTCTTCATCGTGAGTAATAACGATCAGCATAAAATTTCGTTGACCTTCGCGTTCTTCAACGATGCGATTGAGTGCTTCGCACAACGATTCGATGTTTATTTTATCGAGATTGGTGGTTGGTTCATCGAGAGCCAAAACACCGCAATGGCCGCTGAATGTTTCCGCCAAGGCGATTCGAATGATTAAACAGGCTAAGACACGTTGACCGGCACTGCTTTGACCGCGGAAATCCATGAATGTATCGTTTTTGGACGCGACCACTCGATATCTGTAAAAATAAGGCGTTTTTAGAATTTTGTTGGCGAAAAAGTTGTAAGAGAAAGAATACAGAATTCAGTTGTCTACAAGCAAATGTTTGAACATATATGTTCTGCTTTTATTGATTTTTCACTCACGTGTACGAACGACGTTTCGATGTACCCTTCACCTCTTCCGTATTGATTTGTATAAAATCAATATCGTTGCCCTTGTAAATGTTACGCCACAGATCGCGGATCAAACTGTTGATCTTCTCCATTTTGTCGCCATGGAATTTGGTCAGGGCACGTTCTAACGTTTCACAGTAAGTTGTCAGATCTTCCACAGTTTTGGTGAGAACAACATTTTCATAGAATGCTTTTTTGTAATTGCGCACCGAGTCTCGATACTTGGGTTGATTGGTTTCGGCGCGTAAATTATCGATTACGGCTTGTTTCTCCTTCATTTGTCCATCCATTCGCGTGCGATCCAGCGTGATTCTCTCCATATCACGGGCCAATTCCGCCTTTTTTTCAATGATTGACTGGAAATCCACCTCTTGCTCTTGCTGCAACAACGTTTCCAAATCCTTTTTCTTTTCGGCAATCTTCTTCTGGTACCGTTTCAATTCAAGATTCTCGTTCAAATCACGTTCAGCATTCTGTTGTTCGGCCAACTCTTTTGTGAGCAATTTGCTCTTATCGCGAAGCGATTCGATTTCTGCTTTCTGAAAAAATATCAATTTGCATTAGAAATTTCGAAATTCAATAATTTTTTTTCAATGAAAACCTTTCACTCTCAAAAATTGCTCAAAACAGTTGACGCAAATCAAAAGCGAATCGAAAACATATAAAAATTTGAAATCAATCAGTTCAAATTTGCGTTACCTGTGCCGTTTTTTCATTGTTCGCCTGTTCCACTAACTTTTCGCAGCGTTTGATTTCCTTTCCCAAATTCAGCAGTGCCAATTTCTCGATTTCTTTCGTCACCCGTTCAATGGAATCAAAGTTCTTCTTCAAGCCATCAAATCGTTTCGTAGCACGCGAATACGTTTCAGCGCCGCTGGCCTTGGTGCGACGTCGTTTTTCTTCTACGTTTCTAATTTTTCCTTCAATCGGAATCAATGTCTGATCACCGGTCGCCTTCTTGTCCTTCAGCTCTTTGATTTGTTCATTGAGCTCGTTTTCGCGGGCTTTCAATGTGTCAACCTTTTGAATATCCCCTTGAAAATTCAATTCTTGTGTTTTCATTTGCATTAGTCTCTCTTGCAATTGCGTGATGATTTTGGTATCATCTTGATACCGTTTCTCCAACACTTCGATTTTTTTGTCCAATGCTTTGATTCGATCGGTGAGCTCCTTTCGCTTCTTTTGCAAACTGTCCAGATTGTTGTCATTTGGACCATCTGATGTTGGGAGACTTCGTTTCAACGGCTCCAATTCTATTCGTGCTTGCTCAACATCACGTATCGCTTCATCGAGAATGGTCATGTCAGAGACCATTTTGTTAGCAATTTCCTTTTTTTCCTTTGGCTCCTTAACAGATTGTTCAGATTGCTTGGCTTTCTCTTGAGCCGCCGACTTATCCGAATCAAGTTTTTTTATCTCATCTCGTATCTTCGGCAACAAAGTCGATTTCAACTCTGCGACACGCTCAACACTGCTCTGCATCGCAAGCAACTTCTCCAATTTGGCATTTTCTTTCTTCAATTCACGTTCAGCGTTTGCAATAGTCTCTGGCAACGCAATGATTTGATCGTTTAGCTCAATTTTTAAATCATCGATTTCATTGTTATTCATATCTTTGTGACACAATGGGCAACACGGCTGATCCTCCATTTTCTTGATGTACCTGTTCAAATGTGGGAAAGATGAGAAGTCAATGTTTATTTTCGAAAAGATGATGAAGAAAAAATCGCTTACTTTTTGTAAAACAATTCGGACGATTTGGACGAGCTGTGTTCCATTTGCAATTTGGCGACATTTTCCTTTGTTTCGGCCAGAACTTCATCAAATGGATTTTGTTCGCACACATTATCGATATCCGCTTCCAGCTTTCGTAGCTCACCTTCCAATGTGGTTTGCTCTTGTTTTTTGCTTTGACACTGGATCTTGAATTTTTCCGTTTTATTCTCATTGAGCCGAATTTCCGCTTCGAGCCGATTGACTTCGGTTTGTAATTTTTGGCCAATGGACTCAATGCGACGCTTGAAGTTCGATTCAATCATTTCATCGGGGAATAGGCGCTGTAAACTCGCATGATGCTTATTTTTGATGCGACGAACCTCTGATTCACGCTTTTCAATTAGTTTCTCCTTCGTTTCTACATTGGCCAAAACGGATGCCATCGAACTTAGATAGGTGATTTGTTCATCAATCTCTTCCAGTTGTCCAGCCCATTGTTGCCGTTCTTCTTTGTGCTTACCGACTTCATCACGAGTGCCCTGGGTATTTGATGATGCAGTTTTTTCGTCAAGCGCTGTTTGAATTTTTGCAATCGCCTGACGAGCACTCGCCAGTAATCGTCCACTTTTCTCCGCATTTTTAAGTTCCTCTTTTTGCTTATCCAACGTTTGCTCCAGATCTTTCAACTGTTTGGTGATCGAGGCAATTTCGCTTTTGATTCGAATTTCTTCTTCACGGTGACCACGCAACTCTTGCTCTTGCTCGGCATCAAGCTTTTCATTGTTGTCTGCTATTTTCTTGACACTCGCCTGCTCTTCTGACAACGCCGTTCGAATGTTTGCAACCAATTCACCTGCTCGTTTGTTGTCGTTTTTTATATCAAAATCGACGTTGATCTTCAAATCCGTACATAAATCCTTGATATATCCCGCCTTCTCTTCATACAAATCTTGCTCACGCGCACTGTCTTGCAACAAACTGTAATATTTTCGATTGTGTTCGTCGTACGACTTTGTGATTCGATTCAACTCATTCTCGGCATTCTTCACCATGCTTTCATTCTGCGACAATTCCGTTTGCTTTTGCAAATGTTGCGCTTTGAACGAATTGACCTTTTGCTGCAGTTCAGTTTCGCTGCCCATGAAGATTTCGCGGATTTTTGCTGTGCAATTGTCGGCATTTTGTTGCTCGTTCTTCAATCTGGAATACAACGGTTGAGAAAATGAAATACAGATGAAATGAAAATCAAATGAACTTAGACGAAATCAAGGATAAAATGTTCGTTTTGACTCAAGTCTCTTTGACTTGTTACTTTTTTGATTTTTCACATATTGAAAAAAAAGTCCCGTTTCTTCTGCTTAACCTCTTTCTGCCTTGCTATTACCAAAAAATTGCTGAGCTTAAAAAAATTCGATCAAAATTTTAAACTCACTCTGTTTCCACCTTCGTTTTGCTGGCTGTAATCGAAGAGAGCCGCTCACCAATTGCGGCCACTTTCTTGTACTCCTCACGCAGTGGCTCCAAATCGGTTTTACACTTTTCGAATTTTTCTTTCATCGCTTTCATTTCATCCTCATACTTATTGATGTCCATGTTCTTCTTGTCGGCTTCAAGCTTCTTCATTTCCATCTCTTTCAAATTGACCTCTGTGCGGAGTGGACAAAATCGGTTTTAATAAGTGTAAAAAAATGATTTCTATATTTCATGCGGTGTGACCATGATGTCACCACCATGAGGTCTTTGAATTTAAGTCAATTGGAATGGTTTGCATTGGAAATGGGATCTATGAAAATTTCCGTTTGTTTCAAGCAATAATTAAAAATCTAGTTTTTCTTTAAAATTTAGACGCAAAATCAATGCCATGTCAAACAAGATAAATCGACGGATGTGAGTGCAAATTCCAAACCAAAAATATTTGTAAAAAATACTGACTTTTTTCTTTGATTTCATTGTCGTATTTCTTGCGCATATTTCGCATCTTATCCAATGCGTTGTTGTATTCGGTGGTGCCGAAGATTTGATCGAATCGTGTCATCACTTCTTGATCGGTGGCGAGTGGCCAGTTGGCGTCTTCTTGATGGCAAAACAGTACATTGTTGATGATTGCCTTTGACACACCGATCGCAGTGCACATATCTTCAGTGGCATCGTTGTTCCGCTTGCTTGTCGACACCTCGCGGCCATTTTCGTTGAGAGTAATCGTAGCATCGAGTGATTTGTACTGCCATTTCTGGCCCTTTTTTATGACTTTGGCCGATCGACAAATGGTGGTTTCGATACCACGCACATTTTTTACCTAAACGAAACGAAAGTTTTTTTTCTCTCAATAACTTTGATAATGAATATGACTTCCAAATACCAATTCATATGATTTATGAACCGAAAAATTGTCTGAAACAGTGTTCCCAAGTTTGGAAAAAAAGAAAACTTACCCGTAGTTTAACCTGGCCCAATGATTCGGAAATGTGCAGAATGTCTGGATTGTTGATGAATCCAATGCCTTGTTTGCAGTTCGGTGGTGTGTCTCCCGTTAGAGCATACTTGATACTTTCGATGATTGTTGTCTTTCCGCTACCATTTTGGCCCAGGATCAGTGTCAAAGGTGTTGTAAATGTGACTTTCTAAAGCACAAATATTATCCAGAAAATGATCAATTCGAATAAAAAAAAAATTCCAACGGAATAATAAATTGGCCATAAAACATGTACAAACCTGTTCATCTTCTGCATCGACACCAAAATTACGAATACCACGAATTGATAATCTGTCAAGGGTTGACATTGTGTGTTTTTTGTTGGAATGATCAAATTTGACTGTGCATGGACAAGAAATCGATGCAAAATTTAGTGCGACTTATTCGAATCCAATGAATTTCACAATGAATGGTAATGTGCATTCGGTAAAAAAGTGCGTTGTAAACAAAATCAAATGTCAAGTTTTGCCGCTCACCAATAACACAACGAAAGTGGATGACATTTCGATGTGACGAATAAAACAAGTCCGTCGCAAGAGTGTCTATGGAATGAAGACTTCAAAATGAAATTAAATACACTTTTTCATTTCGTTTTAAATTTTTTTTCGAAATAAATCATTTACATTTATTTGAAAAAGAAGAAATTTTATCAAAACATATTTTTTCGTTCTTGTTTTGTGGAGAAATTGTATATTTTGTGTGTTTTGATTAGTGCACCATCTATGATTCCAATTGTGAATGAATTCGAGAATCATTCTGAAGAATTGCTATAGGAGGCGATTCAAAAATGTGGTTTGCCAAACATAAACATTTCTATTTTTAATTTTTATTTTATTTGTTTGAAATCGACCAATCGGAACAAATTTAAATTTGAATGCCGAACTTAATTGAATGAAGTGGCTGCGCCACAGGCTAATTTTAGTAATGCTAAGAATTATAAAAACAATTTCTTTAAGAAATCAATGAATTTTTATTTGAGTATTTTCAAACTAAAAAAACGTAATGAAAATTGACGTAAAAAATCGAATGTTTTAAGCTTGTATCATCAAAAAATATCATTCTTGAAGGTTTTTAACTATGGAAAAGTATGTGTGAATGGGAAGTTTAATTGCCCTTTATGGATTATTTTTTTAGCCCTTTAATTGTGGATTTAATGTTTAACTAAGCAGTCCCTGCTTCTTTGTTCACATCATCAATTTCGTCGTTATCCTTTATCACTGATTTTTTTGTTTCCGGATGACGTTCAACACGCCAAAAGTTTGCACCCACATTCATTGCCCTCATAAATTCCACATTATGCGTGATGATGATTAGCATGAAATTGTTTTGTGCTCGTCGATCTTCGATGATTTGATTAAGAGCCTCACATAGTGATTCAATGTTTGCCTTATCAAGATTTGTGGTTGGTTCATCGAGTGCAAATACACCACAATGGGCAGCAAATGTATCAGCCAGTGCGAGTCGAATAATCAACGAAGCAAGAACACGTTGACCAGCACTACATTGTCCACGAAAATCCATCTGTTTGTCATTTTTCGATGCAATCACTCGATACCTAGCAATAATTTAATTCAATTCAACTTGTAACAAATATTCAAATTCATCGCAAACGCAACTTACGTAAAACTTCGGCGGCCCGAATTTTCTTTCACTTCATCCGTTTTAATTTCGATGGAATCAATGTCATTGCCCTTATAAACGCTGCGCCAATATTCTTTAATTGAACGATTGATTTTTTCCATTGCTTTCTTGTGAAATTGACAAATCGCCTGTTGCATTTTTGTGCAGTAGGTTGAGAGGTCATTTACAGCCTTTTCCTGGACCAAAACTTCGTATTCGGCAATTTTACAATTACGTTCAGAATCACTATATTTTGGGTCAGCTAGCTCTATTTTCAAATTTTCAATTGTATTGTTTTTTTCCATGATTTGTCCATTTGTTTGGTTTTTCAATTTTTCTCGTTTGTTAATCTGTTGTGCGAATTCTTGCTTTTTTGCATCAATTTGTCCAAAATCGGTTGCTCCCTCTGCTCGCAACGATTGCAGTTTTAGTCTTGTTTCTTTCATTTTCCTTTGAACATCTTTCAATTCGACATTGTTTTCAAAATCAAGTCTTTGCTCTTTTTGAATAGTTATGCTCTTTTCAAGTTGCTTAATTTTGTTTTCATTTAATCTCATTACATTGTTCTGGGAAGTGAAATATAAAGAAAATTGTGTAAAATCAAGTATTAAGTATAGAAGTAAGATGAAGCTAAACACTTTACCTGTGTGGATTTATCGGTACGCAATCGATCCAATTCAATTCGGTGTTGATTAATTTCAGAGAACAAATTTTCAAGCGATGTTTTCTTCTCCAACACACGAGTAATGCATTCTATTATCATTTTCAATTCCATAAGACGCTTTATTGCCTCATCCCGCTTTTCTGTGCCATTGTTTTTAGCTTTAAGTTGCTCTTCTTTGATATGTTCGATGTTTGATTCAATCACGCCCAACGATTGTCCCTTAGCTTTCTTCTCATTTTCGATCACATTGATTTGTTCACGAAGCTCTTCTGTCCGGAACTTCAATACATTATATCTTTTTACTTTGCTCTCCAATTGAAATTCACGTCTTCTCAACTCGATTTCTTTCTTCTGGAGTTCAAAAATACTTCTCATATTTGTTCGATAGATTTCATTTTTTTGTTCAATGTTCAATGCTCCAATTTGTTCAGATAACGCCTTTCGTCTTTTGTTCAAACTATCCAAACTTTTCAAATCGTCTCGTTTTTTAGCGCTTTCTTCTTTGTCCGCTGACAAAGAAGTGTCTGTTGTTGAAAAGAGTGTTTCGCAGACCTCCTCCATGTCAGCGGTTAAATGTTGTCTTTGTTCATGTTTTGTAAGGAATTCTGCATCAAGCAAATTACATGAAGCATTGAGTTCAGCTACCGCAGTAATATTTTGTTCGATTTTTGTTTGAACTTCCACCAAGTGTTGCTCAGATTCGTTAAGCGATTGGAGTTCATTGCATTGATTTACGAGTTCTTGATTCAAGTTCACCAGATGGTCGGTTTGTAATTTAACTTCACACTTGGTCACTGCCAATGCTTCGTATTCACTTTGCAATTGTTGCTCATAATCAGCGTCAACTTGATCATTTTGATTTGTTGTTTCTTCAACACTGTTTTGCAATTCAATTTGAACAATTTGGATGCGATCATCTTGTGCATTGAAATCTTCATTGAGAACGATATTGAAATCGGTGTGAAAAACGCTCTTATAGCGTTCAATTTCATTGCATAAAAATGTGTTAAGATCATGGCTTTGGCTCATTTGTTGGTAGGTTTGATCTTTTTCTTGGATCTGACTTTTGATTTGCTCATATTTATGTTGATTATTTGTCAATTCAACCTCAAGGTTAGGTAACATATTTTGACTTTGCGATTGAGATTTTTCCAATGATTCGATCGCCAGCTCCAATTCTTCTTTGGTGCCCTGAAACACATTCTTTATTTTTACCCTTAGTTTTCTTTCTGTGCATTCCTCATTTCTTAAACTGAAATGAATATAAAATATAATTTGTTTTAATTAAAAATTCAAATTTCATCTCATTAAAATTACGTTAACTTACGAAGTTTCAGTCACTTTTATTTCGTTCGCAATTTCCGAAAACTGTGTTAATCTTTCTTCAACATTTTGATATTGTTCCATCAATGGCTTCAGCTCTGTTTGATATGTTTCGCATTTGTTCTGAAGCGAACATAATTCGCCTAGATTTTTCGTGAGCTCTGCTTGCTTTTTGTCGGCTTCGTCTTTGAATCGTTTCATATCTTTTAGGTTATCTTCTGCAATGGAAACGATGTCAATAACATAGAAAAACAATGCAACGTGAATCAATATTGAAGTAGCTAATATACAAACGTATGGTTGGAATTTCTTTTTCCTTTTTTGTTTTATACAATTTTCTCATTTTTTCCAGAGATTTGTTGTATCTATCGGTTTCGAAGACATCTTCAAATATTTTTTTTACAACCGAATCACCATCGATTGGCCAACTGGCATCCTCTTGATGACAAAAAAGCACATGATCAATTATCGCTTTTGAAACTTTCATTATGTCGCAAACGTCCCCGGTGGCACCAAGGACTCTTCTTTCCAGAGGTGTTTGATTCCCATTTTCAAACTGCGAAACGGTTGATTCAACAGATGAACCTGTTTTTCTATCTTTGCATACTTTATGTTTACGAGAGATCACTATCTCTCTACCACTGGTATCCTTGATCTAGTTAAAAAAAAAAAATGAATTAGGAGGAAATCCAGTTTTTGGCATTGAGTTTCAAATGGAAATAGTGTGAATTCTCCAGAGAAAGTTTCCTTTAAATATGCATATGAAGATGGTAAGATAGCTTACAGTGAGTTCAACTTTGCCAATTGTTTCATTAAGATCAAGAATATCCGGATCGGTAATAAATCCAACACCTCTAGCACAATATGGTGGCATCTTTGCAATGAGCGCAAATTTGATGGATTCCAAAATTGTGGTTTTTCCAGCACCGTTACCACCAACAATGCATGTTACGGGCGTCGAAAATGTTATTTCCTATTACATTTTCAAAATATTGAAGCAAATTGATTGTGGTTTAAGTTAATGGATATTTTAAATTCGGTCAAGAATGTTACATCATCTCTTCAATTATAAAAGTAAAACAATAAGTTTTCAGTCACCCACCTGTTCATCTTCTTCACGGATGCCAAAGTTTCGGATACCACGAATTCGCAATTTATCAAGCATTGCCATTTTGAAAGTTTTTTTTAGTTCAAATTACAATCCGCTAATTTCAAAACGAACGCCAAACACATATGACGCTTAAATCGATACACACACAGAAAAACGTCTATATCACTTTTAATTAGATCATAAACAAGAAAATAGATGGCTAGACACTTGATGTTGTTGAATACTTTGAAAAAACCGGTCAAATAAATCCGGAAAATGAAAAAATATATCGAAAAAAAATGTGGAAAATTTTATTGAAACTCAAGCCATCCGCTAAACTTCTCAAGCCAAGAATGCAATTCTGCGTTCCAAGAATTTCACAATAAAATGAAATAAATTTCATCCAAAGTGTTGAGTTTACGATTTTCAAGTGTCACGGTTCGCATTTTAACGATCGTTTTCATAAACAACAATTGACATTAGACACTTGATCTGTCAATTGGTGCTCATTGTGAATTGATCATTCTATTCCCTTTTTTTTACCATAGAACGAAAATCCGTCAGAAATACGCAAAAAGTGTTTCGTAAACAATTTAGTGGTTGTGTTTGCTAAAAGTCGGAAACATTTCAAATGGAAAAAGAAACAATTGGCTTTTATGAAAAATTGCTAGCCATCGGCAGACTTGGTGATTCTCTAAGCTTGAAAACAAGTAGCTCGAAATAAAAATAAACTCCGTTTTATTTTGTCATTACAAAATCAATAATTCGCAACTAATGTCACGAACTATCAAAATTAAGTTTGAAAAATTGTGCCCATTAGGCCCTCTACAGCCAAAATATGCAAAGAGCAAAGAAATAGCGACGAAGAGGAACCAATGGATGTACCTTGTACATGTACATTTGTAAACAAAGATTACATTTATGCTAACAACCTGTCACCGCTTTTGAACATTCTAAATAGTTTGACTCGAAAATGACATGCAACAATTGCAATAGTAGTGGCAGTTGGCAAATGACATCCATTATCTAATTATTCGGTGTTTCCGTGTGGTTTTTCAGTATATACTGAATAAATTCAGTAAACACTTTGATCCATTAGCACTTTGACTTTTGGATTTAATCTTTGAGAACATTTAAACACACTTGTTGGACAAAATAAACACAGATATTTGCTGGAGTTTCGATACCAGAACCGAAAATTCGGATTTTAGCAAGAAAAAATCGGGTTTGATACAATAGGTAAGTGAAAAAAGTTTGAAAATGATTATTTTATGAAGAAAAATCATCACATCAAAGCTCTTGAACATATTTTTCCCTTTTTCGATGAAGAAAAATAATCAAAAAAATATCAAAATAAATAAACAATTCTGACGAAAAATGTATTTCAGATTAAAATTTAGCCAAACAGCATGTCAGCAAACGAGCAAGAAGACTTTGAGGCGCGCCTTAAGGATTTTTCACGTGAATTCGAAGATTCGTTTCGTCGCAGCTTAAATCAACTGCAGCAACGTGTTCAGGAGCAGTTTGACCGATATGAGATGAAAATCCAAGAGCTTCAATCGGAATTGGATGATAGAGAAAGCAAATTGATCGCAATGCAATGGAAACACGACATTGAACGGAAGGAAATGTTGGATAAATTGAAGCAAAACAGAGGATGAACATGTTTTTAAAAGAAAAATAGCTTAGTAGAGACATTCCATACAAAATTATCATAGCAATTCATTCGATATTCCATTTAATTTCTATACCAAATCGATTTTATAGACAATTTCATCAAAAAAAAATCAATAAAAAATGTAGAAAAAGTAAACAAAAAAGCCATTGTTTCACTCACAAATTGAATCATTAGAACATTTTGCTCGTATTTTAACCGAAATCATCACTGTTATGACGACACTGTCGCCATCTGCTATCCAACAGCCGTGAAATCGCATGAAGTTTGTTCGCCATTTTGGGTGTTTTTTCTCTTTCACTTTGCCCACAAGCAGTACGCTCTGAAGTATGAACACGCATTTTACAGCCAAAGAGAAGCGAAGTTGATGCTGAAATAAACTTGGTGTCGTAATTTTGATGGTCTGAAGTTATTTGCATTATCTGACGTAAAAAGTTGTAAAGTTTTTTTTTCCGATATTGTTTTCATCCAACTGATGGAAACATAAACAAAAGTGAATTACATTTGGTCAAACGACAGCGAATGAAATTTTTGCAGAAAAATAAATTCCATTCGCTGGCTATTGACAGCAGCTGAAAAAAAAAATTTGTGTTACTTTTTGGTGAATGCAAGCCAAACAAAATTGTGTGGTTTTTTTTGTTCGAGTTCGCGCTACGAGTGAGAGTTGATTGTTGATCCTTAGTTGGCGCTCATATATACAGGCGAAAAATGTCAGGTAACAACTTCATAATGTTTGGAACGGAATTCGATTTATTTACATTTTGCAATTGTTCATTTGTCGATTGGCATTTGACGGTTGCACGATGATTCAAAATGGAAATAAATTGATTTATTCCATGCCATGGTAAAAAATACCAGCACATTCATTAATTCCAATGCATTTAACACCACAAATGATTTTAATGTGAAAAAAAAATTATCTCATTTCAAATGTCTAAATAGCAGCAACGAAACGGCTGGTGAAAATAATGGCCCGACAGGGTAATGGTGACATCGATGACGGCGATCAGACATCATCCGATCAACATGAATACATTACGACAGTCGATGAATCCACCGACGATGATGGATCAATTGCGTATATTACGGAAAATTATGAAATGACCGATAATACCAATGATGATGATGACGCATTTTTCGTGGAATATGTGACGGAAGAAGAAGAAAATCCCATCACCGGAGAAAATAATGAAACCGAATTCGAAGCAAATCAATATGCAGAGTACGCCGAAGATGATGAAATGACCGACGAATTGTACAATTGCAATTTGTGCGGAATGAATTTCAAATCGATCACCGAACACGTTGAGAAATACCATTCAGGGCAGGATGTTTTGATCGATATTTCGGAGGAGAGTGGATCGGCGATCAAAGCCGAACAAGATGATGATCCACTCGATATTCAGGAGAATGAAGATGAAGGCGGCAGCTTGATTACCGGTTCCGATAATGACGGTGAATTTGTCGTTTTCGGCGACGAATCGATCGATAATGATACTGAACTCTTGGAAGAACTCAGCGAAGAGGATGATCAGGAAGTGTACACATATGACGGTACAACGGGATCACTTACCAGAGCAATTAATATGAAAGGCGGAAAACGACTCAAAGTCACTGCGAATAAAACAAATGTAAGCGAAGTTTTTTATTGAAGAAATTTCTTCATTTATTTTCAAATCGAGTGTATTATTTCATTATTTTTCTTTCAATTTAATTAAATTGACTGAATTCGATGAATTGACTAAATTCCGGATCCATTTGCAGAAGGAAACGTACAGCTGTCAACGTTGCGATGCAGTATTTGGATCGCTGAAAGCACTGTGCAGTCACAAGCTGTCAATGCATGAAAAGGAGATTACGGGAACGAATAAGCCCACACGAAGACTAGTTAAGGCAGCAATTAGAGTGAAGGATAACGACACAGCTAAAGGATCTGATCATGTCTGTGAAACGTGTAACACCACATTTTATTCGGCAAAAAGTCTAAAGTAAGCGGAATTTTTTCCTTTCTTAATCTTCTGCGATTCATTTGAGTATTTTTTTTAGGATCATATCCATATCTAATCGTTGATTTTTAATCAAATTCATTGTCAATGCAAAAAAACATTGAAATAATCATTTTGCCGATTTTTTAAATTTTCCGTAGATTACACGCTCGAATGCATTTGCCAGTGAAATCAAAAACAATCGACGAGGCCACCGAACAAGAAACGGACAATTCAACTGGTGGCGACCAGGATCACAGGAGAGAGAAATTCTATTGTGCCATTTGTGGCAAATCTTACGACAAAAATTTCGAACAAGTTCACGTGCAAATGCACAACGGCGAAGAGAAATTCAACTGCAGCATTTGCAACAAAGTGTTTCCGAACGAGGAGAGCATCCAAATGCACATGAATGCCCATCAAGATACTCGTGTTGTAAGTTAAACTGCTGAGGATATTCGTTGGATGTGTTTTGATGCGTTGTTGAATGTGGAGCTTGGAAAAAATTGTACGCGAATGTGACATTTTGAACTAATTTGAGGTCTTTAAGCCGTGACTACATCAACACTTGTCCCTATTTTTCATACAATTCTTCTCAAACTGAACATTTAATTATGCATCGAAGCACGTCCAACAAATATTCTCAGCAGTTTGGTTTTCCATTTGACAAATGAAATCCGGTTTGAATTGTTACAACAAAATATTGTTCTTACCTCAATTCAGAAGAAATCCATTTTTCAAAAAATGTCAAACTAATCAATTCGCTTTTTAAACGCAGATCAGAACCAAAGCCGAAATGAGCAATATCAAATTGCCGTATGGATGCCAGTATTGTGGGAAGGAATTTGCTCGACCACACGAAAAAGTGAAACATGAACGAGTTCATACCGGTAACTTTTCTGATGAGCTTATCTGTTGATCTCGTAATAACGAGAAGAACACCTTAAAAAAAATCGAAAATCAAACATAAAACAGATTCAAATCATTTTGCGAATAAAAGCTCATAATTTGCATCAATATTCCAGGTGAAAAGCCGTACGAGTGTGAATTATGCGGAAAATGTTTCAGAGTCTCATATTGTCTGACCATTCACATGCGAACACATACAGATGCTCGACCATATGTATGTCCGCAATGCAACAAGAGGTAAACAATTATTTATTTATTTTTCAAACTGTTTGACAATTTTCGTTTACCATCAAAATGAGAATGCAGCTCCGGGTTTGATGGAAGGCGAACCGATTGAAATTGGTCAAGAGATGGCGCGTTCGCAGATTGCAATGGCTTATAATTCGCTAAACTTCGAATTTACATCGATTGAGTATATAAGACGAGCGCATCGCATATATGCTTGTGTCTAATGAAAGGAGAGCTGGTTAGCACTCCCCTTGACAAGGACGGAACATATGAAACGGTCGAATGGCACTGTTAGATATTCGACCAACCATTTTTTTTCTTCTGCCATTTCAATGAAAGTTCAGAAGAATCGGATTTTAATTCAATTCGTTTGCTTAATGAATGAAAGAGATTGCAATACGTTTTACTCTTGAAACAAAAATGCGAAATTGGCTTTTCTTCATCAAATTAATCAGAATTTTACGAAAAGCCGCATTTATCCATTTTAGGAAAATTATTTTGATTTTGAAAAAATATTTCATTTCTAAAACAACTCTTGTCATTAATTTTCCAGATTCAAAGCGCAGTCAGTGTACAATCACCATTTGTTAACGCATTCAGATGAACGCAACTACAAGTGTCCGTATTGCCCGAAAACATTCAAAACCTCGGTACAATTGTCTGGGCACAAGAACAGCCACACGAAACCATTTACCTGTACAGAATGCAATCGTCCATTCGGATCGCTCTATGCCGTTCGAGCCCATATGGAGAGTCATAAGCGACCAAACCATAATTTGAAACACATTTGTGATATTTGCGGAGCAAAATACGCACGCCGTTTTGCACTCAACGATCACATTAAGGAGCAGCACAAAGATGTTCAACTGGTTATTGTTGACGTGAGTATGATTGAAATGTTACATCAAACAAAATTAAGAAATTTTTTCTCATAAGCAGCAATATTTTTGAAACGAAACTGAAATCAAGCAGCTGAATTCCAAATTTAGTCCATGGAAAATAATTTTGTTAGAAAAAAACAAACAAACAAATCAAAAGCAATTCTAGAACACTTGAATAAATACAAAAACTGAAAATGAATAAAAATAGCTCGAAAATTTGGAAAAAGAAGAAAATTGAAAAAGAAAAAAATTTACGAAAAATTGAAAAAAAGCCCAGAAAAACTAACGAAAACCCATTTTCACCAAAAATTTCAGTCAAATAGTGGCAAAAAGTCGCAGGCGAAGCGAACAAAAAAGGTGAAACAAATCGAAATACTGGAAGATGATGATGAACGAGAATTAGAAGCAGCAGGTCAATCAATTTTACCGAATATGGTCGAACAAGAGGTAATTTTGATACATGTCTATGATACGTGGGAATGATCCACTTGGCAATTGGCTAATGCAATTATTTCCTTCATTCCAGATAACAATCAGCGAAATTGAGCATTTCGACAACGAGGAAGAAGTGGTTGAAATGGACGATTGGCTAAAATAAGACGCCCAGAATGTACCAACTAGGCATTTGAATTTAATTGAAATAAGTCTCATAGAATAGTGTTTTTTTTTTGCTCTAAAGTTTTGTAAATGGAAAATCAAAACAACAATTGTCAATACGTGTACAGTTTTAAAACTGTAATATTTTTTTAAGCGAGTACAAAAACAAAATTTCAAATCGAAGATAGAAAAAAATGATGAAAATAAAAAGAAAAAGAATGCAGACAGAATATGAAAGCCGAAAATTAGTTTTCTCTATTGAATTTCTGCGATAGTTTTATTCATGATGTCGCAACGACCTCTGTGTGTTCAATTTCTCATTTGTTTGATTTTGACAGCGACGCCATTTGTAGTAAATACAAGTGCCATCCAAATCTCTTTTCGAACCCTTCTTAGCTACGAGCTACACAGCGGTAGAACAAACTTAGGCAAAAATGCAAACAAAAGTGAGTAAAATTGTGGAGAATATTGCAAAAAACTTGCATAAAATGCGACTAATTCGAATATTTTATCATTTTACAGCGGAGAGAACCTCTTCAAGCCGTTCAAGTTTTCGGCAAAAAGGTAAATATCGCACGAAATTTTGTGGTAAACAGCACACGTGGGTTATCACAGTATAATCAACGGCTGATTTAACTTGTTTTTAATGATTTCAAGTTTCGATTGGCAATTTTTGTGCATCTGATACTCATTTGGATGAAAAAGTTTATGGAAATTGGATAATTAGTGTAAAGTTCATATTTTCATGTGATTTCAGTGTTCGATCCAATCGAAATGGGTGTTGTGATTATTTTGAGGTTATGAAATCGACACTGAGCTTTTTGACTTTGGTGCGACAAATTTTGATGTATGTTTCTAATTTTTGTTTTTTATTTACAGAAAACAGCTACTGCTGTTGCCCATTGCAAACGCGGTCATGGATTGATCCGTGTCAATGGTCGTCCATTGGACAACATTGAACCAAAAGTGTTGCAAGCTAAACTCCAAGAACCAGTTCTTCTCTTGGGCAAAGTAAGTATCACCGTTTATTCCGTTTTGGACATTTTTCAAAGCATCGAATGATGATTTCTTCTCTTATCCCGAAATTGAGTAACGATGAAATTTACCACATCCTTAACAATGACTCTGTTACCATTCGAAAAAGATGTTATGAGATTCAATACGAAGCGCTGAAACTAATTCAATTCGATTTATTTACAGGAAAAGTTCGCCGGTGTCGACATTCGTGTTCGCGTCAGCGGTGGTGGTCATGTATCACAAATCTACGCCATCCGTCAAGCCATCTCAAAGGCCTTGGTCGCTTATTATCAAAAATGTAAGTGAAAATTGGCGAGATATTTCATTATTGTTGGGTTGGTGACTTTTAAGGCATTTAATATTTTGGATGGGGTGGATAATTGTGTGATATAGAGAGTATTTCTTTCTACCAGAATTGAAATTCGCCTTTCGATGCGATTTTCGACGATTAATAGAAAGTAGAATAACGAGTTCCGTTTTACCAACCGTATATTGAACTTGATCAATAATTCGGGTGACGATCCTCGACATTTTCTCATTTAAAGTCTGAATTTTAATCTCTTTTGATGGTAAATTGCAAATCACAAAATCGACCAATCCAAAGTCAATAGCTTAGATTTTAAACACATAGAAACTTATCATTTTCAAGACAACCATACTAATTACGATTCATTTTTTGCATTCCAGACGTCGATGAAGCCTCAAAGAAAGAATTGAAAGACATCCTCATCCAATACGACCGAACATTGTTGGTTGGTGATCCACGTCGCTGCGAACCAAAGAAATTCGGCGGTCCAGGCGCTCGTGCTCGTTATCAAAAATCATACCGTTAAACGCAGCAAATTTTGTCTGCATGTATCCAGTTTGCAAGGTTTTTCGTTACAACAACGAAGAGCAATTCATTTTCGGCGAACAATATCACTGCGTGATAGAGTTTTATTCCAATTCAAAATCATTGTTCTTTTGAAATAAACAATGCAAATCACATTCTACAGATAAAAAAAATATGTTTTTTCCATCTTTCAAATTCAATAGTTTCAGGTCGGTTTTCACTGGATGATTGAAAAGTCAGAAAAAGTCAAAGTTGAACAAAAGAAACAAAATTCTTCATAATAATTTTTCCAACGGTTTTTGCCTTATTCAAATTAAATTTCCATCAAATTCTCCATAATTTCAAGGAAAAAATTTGTTTATAATCGATTCCGCTCAAAAATACGCGATGTAACCATTCGAATTGTTTGATTTTGCTCGATAGATGGCGCTGTTGCTTGTTCTGTCATCGGTAGAATTTTGACAGCTGAGCGGTTTTATTGTGAGTGATGCTCCGACATTGATATTGGTTTCGTTCTTTCTCGTTCGACAGCCAACTAAATATGCAGCAAAAGGTATGTACTCTCAGGAAGTGTGTGGTTTTTCCGAAGAAAATCCATGTCTAATGATGTTTTTCAATTGTTTTTTTTTAGAAAAGAGAACCTCTCCAGGCTGTTCAAGTCTTTGGCAAAAAGGTGAGCCGTCGATAAAATTGATATTTTTCGAAGAAAAAAAATACTGTCGTGAAGCGTCATCCGCAAAACACAATGTGTGTATACACGTGGAAATCGTTGAATATGAATGAATACCATCAATGCTTTTCGCAGTGAATTTGTGCCAATGTTGCGTCGATCGTGAAATTCGATGCAGTTGATTGTGTTTGAATGAAATGATAAATAATTTTTTTTGCAAGACCACATTTATTCGGTGTAAATTTTGCAAACGAAAAAAGTCCATTTTGAGGTTATGTCTTCTGGCCGTTCGTGGTGCAGTTTTGCCAGTTGCAAATAGTTGCGGATTTCTTGCCATTTTTCGACATTGAAGCTTTCATTGACTTGAATGTTTGAGTTGGATTAAGACAAAAAGGACCAATTCTTGTGATTTTCTTCCAAATTAACGAACTGTTTCGTTTCATTTTTTTCAGAAAACAGCTACTGCTGTTGCCCATTGCAAACGCGGTCATGGATTGATCCGTGTCAATGGTCGTCCATTGGACAACATTGAACCAAAAGTTTTGCAAGCTAAACTCCAAGAACCAGTTCTTCTCTTGGGCAAAGTGAGTATCACTGTTTATTCCGTTTTGGACATTTTTCAAAGCATCGAATGATGATTTCTTCTCTTATCCCGAAATTGAGTAACGATGAAATTAACCACATCCTTAATACTGACTCTGTTACCATTCGAAAAAGTTGTTGTGAGATTCAATACGAAGCGCTGAAACTAATTCAATTCGATTTATTTACAGGAAAAGTTCGCCGGTGTCGACATTCGTGTTCGCGTCAGCGGTGGTGGTCATGTATCACAAATCTACGCCATCCGTCAAGCCATCTCAAAGGCCTTGGTCGCTTATTATCAAAAATGTAAGTGAGAATTGGCGAAATATTTCAATTTGGTTGAATTGATGTCTTTTAAGGCATTCTGTATTTTGGATTGTGTGGACAATTGTGTGATATAGAGAGTATTTCTTTCTACCAGAATTGAAATTCGCCTTTCGATGCGATTTTCGACGATTTATAGAAAGTAGAATAACGAGTTCCGTTTTTACCAACCGTTTATTGAACTCAATCGATAATTCGGGTGACGATCCTCGACATTTTCTCATTCAATCATCATAGTTTTGACCAATGAGCTTCACATTATTCTTCATCACTCTACTCAAGTTACGAATATATTCGAAAGATCGCATCACCTTGAATCATTTCCTATGGGGCGTTCGGTTTTCTATACAGAATATTCGATGTTTCAAACATTTTGTAGAAAATTGATTAAATGCTCTAACAAAAGGATAAATGATTCTCTTGAAAAATATGTTCTTTTGACTGTCTTAAATCAAATGAAAAACAGCTAATGAGAACAAAATCAAATGTTTAAGGCATGTTCCCTCACTGATTTTTCCTTCTTTCGAAATTGTGTGCAGAAAAATTTCTTTCTACCAGAATTGAAATTCGCCTTTTGATGCGATTTTCGACGATTAATAGAAAGTAGAACAATGAGTTCCGTTTTACCAACCGTTTATTGAACTCATTCGATAATTCGGGTGACGATCCTCAACATTTTCCTATTCAAAGTCTGAATTTTAATCTCCTTTGATGGAAAATTTCAAATCGCATATCCTACTGTTTGCAAAGTCAATAGCTTGGATTTTAAACACAAAGAAACTTATCATTTTCAAGACAACCATACTAATTACGATACATTTTTTGCATTTCAGACGTCGATGAAGCCTCAAAGAAAGAATTGAAAGACATCCTCATCCAATACGACCGAACATTGTTGGTTGGTGATCCACGTCGCTGCGAACCAAAGAAATTCGGCGGTCCAGGCGCTCGTGCTCGTTATCAAAAATCGTACCGTTAAGATTATTCTTTTGTACCAATACAGAGCAAATATGTACCGAATTTTGTTTTGGTGAAAAAAAAACACAACTTTTTTTTCAAAAGCAATGACCCTTGTTTTTTTTATTTATCTTATTTAATCGCTTACTATTTATTTCAATGGAAAATAACAAATTAGAAGAATGATTTTGGGACTAACTTTACATTTTTTAAAAACATTTATTTGGAATATTTTTAAAAAGCAAAACGATAACATCAATAGCAAATCAATAACCTTTTCAAATTTAGATGTTTGAATAGGATTATTATTCCCGATGTGGATTTTAGTCTTTGAATAACACGGTGAACATGTGTAAATGCAAACATTTAATACTTTGCAAAGGATTTATTTCATAGTTAAATTGTGGTTTTAATCGCCCAATCAATCTTATGTTATTGTCGCCAAGAAAATTCTTCTCCAAGATACTTGGCTTTCTGTTCAACATTGAATCTTAAATTCTAGCTAGCATTCAAGTTCATAGCTTTGTTTGAGTACATGATGGTAGGTCTAAAAATGATGACACGATATTATACTAAAAATCAAATCGAACAATCTTTCAACTGTGATGAATTAGAGTTATTGACAAAAGCAATAACTTATGGTTCATTTGTTTCAGTTGAACGTACCTAAATCGAATATTTTAACATGGTTTTGTATTTTGAGCTTGTAGCAAATGTCAAATTTTATTTTCCCTTTTGGTGTAAAACGCATACTTATTGGACGCACAAGAAATTTTCCAATCCAAATTTTGAACTTTGAAGTGATTCATAAAATTTTTGTACGAAATTCGGTTAGAATTTTGTAAGCATTTTGATGCTTCGAAAATGTCACTTCAATTTCGCTCAACAAACCCATCTGATGTTCTATATGCGAATTGAAGAGGAAATCTTGCAAAATGTATGCTGAAAAAGAATTTTCATTTATTTATTTAAAACAACGATCTCTAAACAAGAAAATGAGAAAACAAGTTTGTATTATGGACATTTTTTCTGTATTTATTTCTTCTCGGCGCAAAATCAGTGTATTTTATTCCATTTCAATGATATTTCCGCTTATTTATTTTTTTCCTGCACATCAGCTTAGATGTTACTTGTGGAATTTTGTGTGGCGCTTTGAATTCGATTTGTATGCGAAACATATTGAACAGAGTTCACATTGGAAAGGATTGTTACCAGTGTGATTTGCTCGAATGTGCCCCTCCAATTCTCGTCTCCTTGAACAAATAAAACTCTGGCATAGATAACATTCGTACCGACGTCTCTTGCATTTGGCTTCATGTGTTGCCTTTTCCGTAGGTAGTGTGAAACTCACGCAGCAAATTGAACACTTGAATTTTGGTGGACGAGGAGGATTGGTGTGAATCTTCATGTGTGTTTTTAGATTTTCTGGTCGCGTGAACGTCTTTGAACAATGATCGCAATGGAATGGTTTTTCACCAGCGTGCGTACACATGTGTCCTTTCAAATTTGATTTAGAAAAACTTGTGAATTCCTTGCACAAAAAGCACTCGTAACGACAAATGTTGCGGATCGCTTCATGCGCCAATTTTTCGCTGTTCTGAGAAAAACCTTTCAAACAATTTGAACAACTGAATAGGAATTCATCGACGTGTAGTCGCATATGATACTGAAGACTCGCTTTCTGTGTGAATTGTTTTGGGCAATGAGTGCACGGAAACGGTTTTTCCTCGGTGTATTTTCTCATGTGTCTTTCAAAACCGGACTTATCCGAAGTTTTGTACTCACACGATGAACATTGGTAGTGCTTTATTCCAGTGCTAGCTGCACCCGTCTTCTTTTCACCATGAAGGTTTTTGGATTTCACTACCTTATTGGTCGCACATAACTTCGGTGGCTTAGCATCGACTGGTATCATCGCAACCTTCTGATCAAGTTCATCCTGTGTGGAGCTCTTTTCGAACAATATGTTGGCTATTTCCTTCTTGTTTTCGACTTTGAACTCCCTTTCAACTTCAATCGAATCGCCGAATGGCCAAGCGGTCGTGTATGCTCCTGTCACCAGCTTCAGATTTTCATCCACATCGAATGGCTCTTCTTTCACAATCAGTTCTCGTTTGATTTCACTTGCGCTCAAAATTGAATCATCAAATGGTCTATGATTGAATGGTACTCCACCCGATTCATCTTTATCTGGCGGTAGTTCGTGTTGATCGTCCATTTTGCTGAACAATACATTCAGTGCTGTGAATAAATTGATTTGTTAGTGAAATGACTTAACCTCAAACATTTGATTTTTACATGTCCCATTAAATGCTTTCTATTTTCTGTACGAATTGTGGATATTTTTAAATTACCTCAAATTCGATCGTATGTCACTATTGAACAACAGCAAACGAAAATGAACAAATGAATATTATGTGACAATTGAAAGTTTTACGGAAGATTAGAACTGTTCTGCTGCAATGATAAACTGGAAATGACCACTTAACGTCAATTACCGACTTTGATGACACATTTGAAGTGTCGAAAAGGATTTTGGTGTTAACGATGTCACTTCCATATGTTTTCTTTGAGCAACACTATTTTACTTATTTTTCCTTTAGAAGACTCCTTTTCGAAGCAATTTTCACTTTCAAATGTTTATTTAATTCGAAGAAAAAAAAACTATTCTGTTCGGAATTGCAAAAAATCACATTTTTTGAATTTTTTTTTTTTCATTCTTGATCAATAGGATGGTAAACACCTTCTTATAATCGAGAAATGCTCTAATCATTTCAAGAAATTTCCATAGAAAATGAGAGTGAGCCATTTTTGCATCATGTTATTTATCCAAAACTGCATGCGACCTACTATTGCATATGGTCGTTGCTGCATATGGTCTAGTCTGAAATTACCAAAGAATGTCTCACTTTAAGCCCACTTCACAGTGGAGTCGACACGATCTTGACGGTTGAAAAATTATAAATAGCGAACTCGGAAAATTGGTGATTCTAATATACAAAATACGCACGGGTCCTTTGTGGATAGGCCCAAAACAATAGTTTTTCCTTTTGACATGCTCAGTCAAACATGTATTGTTAAATCACCGCTTTGATATGCCGCTTAATGTCACACCATAACGCCATAACAAATGATTTATTTTAAGATCTATTAACCATTGCAATATATGCTCACCTTTTCTTTTCTATATAATATCAGGAGAGAATCCTATCAAACTCACCCATATAAACGTGCATCAAATTTTCTCTTGGTAAAACAAATACACAACTGTTTTCTTTCAAAGGCAAATGACTTTGGATTTAATTCATATTTCATTTATTCATTCAATTTTTTACAATTTATTTCAATGAAAAATAAATGGTTGGAAAATTGATTTTGAGACCAATTTTAAGTATTCACAATTTTTCTACATTTGGAATTCATTCAAATTAAATTTAAAAAAAAAATAATTAGAAACTAAAACCTCACCGAGAAAAAGAAAATAACAAGAAAAAATGAGACGAAAAACGGCGATTCCTATTCAATGAATCATCAAATGATTTTATTAAAACAAAATAATTCAAGATTCGATTGAAGTAAGAACTGCAATGAAAAAGCTTAACATCTAGAATTGGTTTCTTTCTAAAATTTGATTGATAGGGTGAGTTGTGGATATCAAATAAATTCTAAGCAACAAATAGATAAATAGATAGTACTCGTGGCCGACACGTGATGTATTTTACTATGGTATGTGTGTATATATTGCGCAACAATATCATCGCATCGATCCATATCGCGTCTATCATGAGCTGGGCATCGAAAGCATTAACCGAACGATGAATGTGATAACATAAAAAATAAATAGAGCTGATGTGGCAATGGTGAGCCACTGAGATGGTGTGAATTGTCGATCGAAATAATAGTATGTGGGTCGTATGTGTTCCAGCAGTCCTGACCATCCGCCGTTGTCGAGTAGCCATGGCACAAGATCATCTTCGACAATATCACCGGTGCTTTCGATGAGCCGTGGCAAATAATCATAATGACCTTGACGCACAATATCAACCGCTAATCCACCCGACACCGTGAATATGGACACAATTTTCGCCCAATTGATGCCACTCTTAAACAGATCCTTTGCCACAGCATTCAATAGATAGGGTGCAGTGTGTGCCTCTTCAAGTTCACCGAATGGTGCCCGTGACAAATGACGCGATATATTCATATACACTCTCGGATGCATTCGTTCCAGTTCTTCGCACATCTGTTTTGTTTTTTGTTTGTTTGGAATGGAAAAACAAAAATTGCGATCAAGATAAAAAATAAATGGAATTGTTCTAGCAAATGAGAATAAATGTTACCGTGTTCAGTGCCGGGAATACTTCGTGCACATCGAACGATGTTGGTGTGTCTAAGAAATAACGCAGCCGTTGCAACACTTTGCGATTCAGAATCCCGGCACGTTTCAACCGAGCTCGCACATATTGACAGCACAAGCATTTGGCCTAAATCGAAAAAAGGGGAAAAAAAACAACACACAAATCACATGAACAATCCATTTGCTATTACCTTTTACGACATTTGATTCTCAGAAGAAGAAAAAATTCAATGGTTTCAGTTCGAAAATGGGCAACGACTACTTTTTATGTTTACTGTTTGATCGTTGTGTGCTTGTGCATTTGACAAACGTATGTAAATGCAATAAAGTTATATATTTTGAACTTCAAAATCCAAACAACACTGTAAAACACACTTGCACACCGTGCTCTGTGTGGTATAACTTGAATTTTTTGTGTGCATTTTGTTTCTCTTTTACTTTATTTATTGTGGTTTGATCCATCCATTAGTTTATGGCGCCGGACCCGATTCCTTTTTTTGTCTTTTCGTTCTTCAGCGTGTGTTTCGTTTTATTTGGTTGTTTTTTTTTTTGCTCTGTGCTCTGCTCTACTGTGCTGTTCGCGTCTCGTGCACGAGATCGATTTGAAATGAAGCGAGAAAAATTCAGGTTGATCGGTTATTGGTGGCGTGCGCGCACATACACTTCTAATCACAAAGCAACCACGACGGAGAGCGAGCGAGAGAGAGAGAGAGCGAGAGCGAGAAAAAGTGTCCAGCCGAATGAATGGCAAACCGAAAAAAGTAAACAAATTAGCGAAAGAGAACAGAATGTAATTCAAATACGCGGTCGTCGTATCTAACGCCAAATATGGTCTATGTATATCGAAAAACCGACACACACACACACAGCCACCGAGTCAGAGATTAAGAAAAAAGAAGAAAAAAAAAAAACATCTAATAAGCTAAATAGAGACACTTATGCCGAACGCGACCTAAACGAACGACCGAACACAAATCGTACAAACAGACGGTGTCTGTCTATTCGCAGATATACAATTCCAAATGTGTACATATAGAAGTAATAATGAACGCGAGAAAAAAATATCTATTTTTTTTTGCCATACAATTATCTTGAAAATTAATCGTTCAACGCAAAATAAAAAGGCAGCAAACGCTAATGCGAGAATAGCAACAAAACCAACGGTAAACATTAATCAGTGAACAAATAATGAAAATAAACACACTCGAAAAAAAAGCAAAGAGAAAAAAAAATCAAAACATTTATATGGAAAAAACAGAGAAAGAGAGTGCAATTGACCGAGCGAGCGAGCGAGCAAAAGGCAAAGTTGATAGACATAATAAGACAGAGTACAGGGGCAAGCATAAAAAAAAATTTAGTTGTTGTTATTGTTGGGCTCGTAAAATGTCAAAAGGGAAGCAAGTTGAATAGTATAATTAAAATAATCTGAATGAGCGCGCGTTCGCGCTCATACTAAGCCCAACTAAATTTCCGAAGAAAAAAATAGCAACAGCTAATGATATGATGAAATGGCTCGAATTGCCGTCAAAAAAGTTCTGGTTCAATCCGTTTGCGGTTTTGTGATCTGATTTGCTCGTATCGCATTTCACGTTCGGCTGCAAACCGATAGCTGATTGATTGATTGACTGACTCTCAATCACTCGAATGTGTGTTGATCTTGGCATAAGTGTGTAAAGAGACAATTTTGCGCGAAAATTGTGTATGTGTGCACTCTTTCTATTGCAATTTCATTCAGCAATACGCGGCAAGCGGTTTGTTGTTGTATTTTGTCAGTTAATTATCCATATTGCACACAATTGAGAATGTCATTCGATATATTCTCTGGATCGTTGCAGCTTTTTTTTTCGTTCGGCTGTTTCGCAATTCGAATGACGGAAAACATAATTCATTATTGAAATGAAATTGCGCTTCTGTACTGGAAATGATACACTTCCACTCCCCACTTCACCATAAAAAAAAACATTAGTCATTCACGCACACTCATTTTCCTCTCTCGCTCTCTCATCATGTACATTTTTAATGCATACAAAACTGATGATTTGAACTGAAAAATTGCCACTTATCGAACCAGTTACACACAACGAACCGAAACAAGACGAAACAGCAACAAAATATCAACGTTAATTTTAAATGTACACACAAATGGAAGCGGAAAAGGAGGTGCGAGAGGGATAGAGAGAGAAAAACGCGAAGAAAGAATTCGATTTACCTGTAAAGTCACTAATTGCTCACGATTGTTTTGAATAAAACTTAAACTTTTCACTTTCTTCCACGGCAACAATAGTTCGTCGGTGGAATCGTAATCGATTGTTTGTTGTGTATCGTCATTGTTTTCGATACTGGGCTCTTGTTCCAGTGGCAGCATGCAAAAAATAAACCCAAAGTAAACAGCAAACAAATTATAGCTATAACATTCGAATATGTCTCAATCGCGCGAATTCAAACTCCAACAATTTGAAATCCAGTTAGTCCAATAATACACACGTACAGAAAGTGACGGAGTTCTATTTTTTTTGCTCACTTTCGGCAGCACCGCGATCGTGCGATTAATTCATTTGCATTGTCAATTCCGACACGGCTCTCCAATCTGTGTGTATTGTGTGTTTGCTCTGTGTCGCCGTCGCCGTCGCCGTCGCCGTTGTCTTTGTCGTCTTTTTGTGTCTTCTTTTCAGTGTCTTCTCTCGATATCTTTTGTTTGTTGCAGCGCGACGTTTGTGTTCTCTCTCTCTCTCTCTCTCGCTCCGCTATATATGCGAGAATTTATTTTGATTCAAATGAGAGACGATTGAAGGCGTGAGCGTGCGCGCGCTACCTTTTTCGCTTTGTCTTTCTAATCTCACACCAGAGTCAGCTAAGTCTGGATCATCAGTTTATCTGTAATTATTATGTCGATTTGCTAGTCAAAACGAAATGATATGAGAGAAGATAAAACTAGTGGAATAACAACGAAATAATGAGTAAAATATTGTCGTCGGCGGCGTTGTCTCTCGAACATGGCGTGTACTTACTCTTTAACGCACACTGAAAAACCATCCACTCGGTCTGTTTATGCGATACACTTTTGTGTGTGGCGACTTTTTTTTTCTTCTTCTTTCGTTCCTTCGCTTTTATTTCTCTGCTTCTTCTTTAAATATTCGACACACGGCACACGGTTGCCAAACAACTGTTTACAGCATACACACGGCACGCAGCTACAACAACAATACAATCATTACAATATTTTATTGTGATTTGTTTTTTTTCCGTCTCTTTCGCCTTTTTTTATGGTGAATATTCCGAAGAAGATTAGACTCGTGACAAATTTTTCGGTTGCTAAAATTTCGTGTACCTCATTTGCGAATGCTTAGAGCACATGCGCTGCTGCCACTGTCGCTGTCACCGTCGCCGCCGACAACGAACTTCGTTTCGAACAAGTCATGATCACGTTTATATGAAAAGCAACAAGAAGCCGGTCTTCATTCAAACGGTCAACCCGAAACAAAATGTGTATATATACAAAAATAACAAAATCACACTCACTGGACTCACTCACTCGCACACATTTTGCTGTGCGTTCGTATGTACAATAAACTCTTTTCCGCATTTCGTAATAGCAGCTCAATGACAATCAGAACGCATCTCTTGCACTTTGGATTCAACTGCCTCCTGCGTTCGCATCACTCAACGATTACTCAACCATTATCACGTTTTTCTGATGATTCGCCATTAAAACGACGACCGCTTTTTTTCTTATGTTTTTTTTTTTCATTTTTTTCTTTCCTTTCTTCATTTTTTCGTTTGATTTTTTTTTGTTGCTCGTTTTGGCGAAGTGCGAGATTACGATGAAACTGAATTAAAACAAGGTGTATGGAAAATGAATGAGCGCTCGGTTTGATCTTAGAAATGGCATTTATTGCTGATTTATCACAATCTGACACAAGTTCACAAAGTTCAATTGATTCGATTTTTGCAGGCGACGTGGATTTTGTTCTACAGTTTCAATTACTCTTTGTTTAACGTTCATTTTGTTTTGATTTTAATTTGTTTTTGTTCGATTTGGTTTGGTTTCATCGCACCCAAATCAAGCACGAAATTAATTGATAACCAAGAAATCGAAGGGTGAAATACAAGATGATGATGCCAAATATACAGCCAAACACCAACGCAGCACATCCCATATACGAGAAATTCGTTTTCTCCGGATTTGTATGCGTCGTTAGACCACCCTGTAAGCACAGAATATAAACGACATGAATGAATGAACAACTAATTAAAGTGTCATTTCATCAAGATAAGAAAAATGAATCGATTGTTATGCAAATAAATCACAATTGATACAAAATGAATAATGAAGCGTAATTTATGCAGAAAAATAAGGTTTGGCCAGAATGAATGGCAAAAGGAAAATAAATGAAATAAATGAATTGAAGGCACAAAATGACTGAACGGAAAAAAATGGAATATAACATTGAACAATTTATTAAGATATTTTTTATTCAACTTGGATTTTAATGTATAAAAAATGAAACGGATCGATGGATAAAGGGAAAGAAAGAGAGAGCTTTGCCTCTCTGTCAGAAAGAGAAAGAGAAGAAGAAAAACAAAAATCATCAAAATTCTAAAATCAGACGAATCCAACGTACCCAACCGCCATTTTCATTTATCCATGTGGCCAGTTCGTCTTCGACAACATCGGCGATGCCTTCAACCAACTTCGGCAGATATTCCGGATGATCTTGCCGCACACAATCAACGGCCAAGCCACCAACAATCGCAAATAACGCCACAACCTGAGCGTAGCAATTACAAATTTACAATGCACACGGAAAAAAATTTAATTAGTTTAAAAACTGTTATTTAAACATAAATTTACGACCGATCAAATCGTTGATTACAGTCATTTGAATGAGGAAAGAAACAATGCCAAGGATAAATGTGTAAAACATAGACGTGATAAAATTATATCAATGAAATATGGTAGCAATGGAACAATTGTAGAAATATGAATTTGAACAAAAATTGAAAAGGACATCAAAAGTCTAATCTGGTTTTCAATGAATGCTTCGTAGGAATTTTTCTTTTGAAAATAAATAGAGTAAAAAAAAGATAAACATTTTCTGAAAAAAAAAACATCATGTCGAATCACGTGATTCAAGTTCTCATTACAATTTATTCTACAGACAATTTACATTACACAAGTGAGAGTGTTTACACAAATTGTTTGACTTGTATGTGATATTGACTTATTTGTTCTGTACTTTACACATTCGCGGTCACAAGGTATTCGTCACAATCACATAAAACATCCATTCACACATGTTTGCAAAATTGTAACGAAAACCATTCATAGATCGGTCGTTTTATTTGCATCAAATCAACAAGTGTTTTTTTTTCTCTCGCAATAGAATACACATAGACACGGATATAATACATACCTTGCCCCATGTAATATCACTACGAAACAGATCGCGGGCCACAGCGCTTAAGATCGCTGGTGCTGTGTCGGCTGTTTGTAAATCACTGCTCGACGGTCGAGTGATTTGTCTTGTGACATTTGTATACAGCGTTGGGTGCATTCGTTCCAATTCTTCGCCAACCTTTTTTGCAACAGAAGAAAAACAAATTGCAAGTTTAGTTTGAATTTCAACTTGTTTGAAGTGAGTTTGAGCTGATTTGTCTGTAATTTTATATCGTTTTTTATGTTAGTTAATGATTGGTTCATTGAATTTTACAGATCAATCAAGAGGGCACACTGCACACGCAACATCATGGTGATGCAGATCAAAATTTTACTTGAACTAAGCTCAAATTCGCTATTTCTAAAACGACCATTGTGACCTTTGAACATTGAACATTGTTCAATAAGAAGTCCAAAGACACGAAGACTCTTTATCACAAAGGTAAGCTTCGCTAGATTATATTGTATTCATTATGAACGGCTCAAATTAGATACAATGAAATCGCTTCATAGAATACAAATCTTGTGAAAAATAAATTGAATTTAATGCATTCCAAAAATACTTACATAGTTCAATGCTGGGAATACTTCGCGTACGATATGTGCCGATGGTGTGCCGATGATGCTTCGAAGTCGTTGCAAGCCTAATTTCTTTGTAAACAAACCGGTTCGTTTCAATCGATTGCGAATGTATTGCCCACATAGACATTTACCCTGTGTTACCAAATCTTGAGTTGGTACCGCTGACGGTAGCTTCCATCCGATCGTGCTGGACAATTTCCGGGTAACAACGTCGCTAACATTGCTAAATCGACGTCGAGCCGACAAAGTATTGACATCGCCCAACAGCGATGACGAATGCAGTGCAACGGGAAAGCTAAATTTTCGTTTATTCTCCACAACGGGTAAGAGATCCATGGTTTTCGTAGCCAGCGCTGGTATTGGCAATTTCAATTTTGACAATGTTCCACCTCCGCCTCCGCTGCCGCTCGAATTTTTGTACGCATTTTCAACAGATAACATTCTGTTGCGTGAATGAAAGGCGACGTAAATTCTGGAAAAGAAAAAAACAATTCGATCATTTCATTTTGAATGACATATTTTGAATAGCTGGGTTAATCACATGCAAATTTCTTCGTTCACGATCCATGCATAAATTGATTTTAAATTTGCCCCGAAAAAATTCGTTGGCGCTTTGTTTTTTCGGAAGAAAGTGCATTACTAATTACACAGTCGAATGCTTCTGAAAATAAAAGTGTGTAAAATATTTGGACATGCGAAAAAGTGGCCAAAAATTCGTGATTCAATTCAATCTAATCCTCACGACAAGTAGCCAAAATGGGCCAACGACTTTCTTGTTGACACAATGCATTTCAATTTCACACTCGACAATTCATTAAATGTCACCCAAATCCGCGTCATCTCTGTAGATACATTGGATTTTTTTTTACGTATTGCGCGCACTTTTTTTCACGATTTCATTTCGGATCGTGAAGAAAACAATGAGTACCGTTTCGTTTTGGGTGGGCGCATTCATATAAAAACCAACAATTATATGTTGCCAGTGGTCAGTTTTGGAATTGATGCGTATCAATTAAGTTTAATCAAAGTGTTTGCGACTGATTTTTGTTTTGTTAAATTAAAATGCGACAGTTCTAATTAAAAAGTGTTGCGATTTGTTTGTATTTTCCTGGAAAATTTTTTAACGAAACAGCGTTGAATGTTCCCGGAAAAATGACAGTTTTAATTTCGATAATTATTTCGGTGATATGGTGTTGTGATCGAATTGGAGCCGATGTTTCACATCTCAAGTCAACGAATCATAATCACTTTCAATCGTTCAATGGATACAATTACAATCCACCATTGCATCAATTGCCAAGTCCAGCGCCAAGTCCTCCGATTACAACCACATTCCGACCCGAAATCATCGTTAATAAAGGTATAGCATGGATTTATTGGATGAAAGAGTGATTCTTTGAAAGAGATTTAAATGGCTTATGCCATTCAATTCAATAGCTAAGTGAATCTTTCAGCTTTGAATACAATGATTGAGTGACATGAGTTTCATGCTTCAAAGAGAACATATCTATGGGTGAGATTGAGAGTAGTGTATGTTTCATTGACTTTGTTACGAAAGAGAAGAGCAAGTTTCTGTCGACTTAAAAATGGTTAAAAGCGAGTATGTTCGTTTTTTGCGGGTCCTCGCGGTTTTTCACGGTTTCCGCGGAACTGATAAGAGATAACAACTTGGTGTCTTCGACAAAGTTGTAGCACTCGAGGTCTTCTATAACATTGCTGAAGTCAGTTATCTCTTATCTCTTATCAGTTCCGCGAAAAGCGCGAAAAATGATAAGAAAAAAAAAGTTCTATATAAAATTTGCTTTTTTATGTGCGCGATTTGCGCGCAACTGATAAGAGATAAGAGATAACTGTCTTCAGCTTAGTTATAGAAGACCTCGAGTACTACAACTTTGCCGAAGACACCATGTTGTTATCTTTTATCAGTTGCGCGAAAACCATGAAGACCGCGGAGGCTAGACGGTACTACAACATACTCTACTTTAACGCCAACAGAATCATCAGAAAACATACTCGCCTTTTCAAAAATATAAATCGAAGAAAAAACATACTCCACTCTCAATCTCACCCATAGATATTCTCTATGCATAGAACCTTTTACGAATTAAGATTATTGAATACACAAAGAGAATCAACAAATTTTGTCATAAATGTCGATTTTCTGTTAAAAGTGCTAACTGAACGTAACTATTTTGAATAATTGAAACATAACATTGTGTTATTTTGGCATGAATTTGTGAAAATTGGCTCAAATCCTTTAGAAGTTCAAAGTTCCAGATTAATAACAAGCATTGAGAATAATAGCAAGGCTTGAAGCGCATTGAGTTAACTCAATTTGCAGTACAAACGAATGATTTTCAAATGTTTCCCCTCTGAATTTTTGTAATATATGCAAATAGTAATTGGTAGTTTGTGTCAATATAATCGAAATGCTTATTGTTCAGCAGAGCCGTCGAATGTGTATCTACCACCACCCACACCGTCAACGGAAACTTCAATTGTGATTCATCCGCCGGATGATCTCGAGGGCGTGTATTTACCTCCATTTCATGAAGAAATTCCACCGCCACAAACGGAACCACCACAAAATTACTTACCACCCGAACCGGTGAGCATTTTGAGGCTTAAATTCCATTTTATCACAACCTCTATCATGGATCTCTCATAAATTGGGGAGAAAATATGCGATTCATCGAAGAAAAAAAAATGGATTTAAATTGTATTTTTGCTGTCGAAATACGGTTCTGTTCTTGTTTTTCCTTTTAATCAAGTGAGAAAAAATGAATTGTTTCTTTGACGAATCGCTTTGTTCGTAGCAAAATTACCTTTTTCTCAAGAAAATTGGATTCCAAAAATCTCTTTTTCTTGTAATGAAAAAAGTTCTGTAGTTTTCTTTCAAATCTCTCAATTTTATTTTTTCTTCCAATTGCTTTTTTCCATGTTTCAGGAGCCCGACTATCAGTATTTGCCACCGCCGCCGGCCGATGAAATTAACGAAGGCTACCAATATTCAAGACCGAAACAACCCAAATATTTGCGAAATTCAAATGTTCTTCTCAACTCCAAACCGGGTGCTCTGCACATATCTGTAAATAATTTGCGATGCCTCGAAGGGAATGGCGGCTATTTCCAAGCAAATATCGTTGTGCAGAGTTTCATTGAAAATCTGCCCATAATCGATTCAGACACAATTGATTCACGCTGCCAATTTCATCTGGTTGGCGTTCAATTGATCTTGAACATTGCATACATTGACTTTCAACGATGCGGAATTGCCCCATGCGGCAGCCGAGAACTTTGTGTCAACTTGAGATTCCCTCAAATCTTCGGAATGAAAGCATTAGATGACAACTTGCTCACATTGAAGTGTAAAATACAGGAGAGAGTGATTAGCAAAACGCACGCATTTCGATTTGGTGTATCACATTCGGGGTGAGTTTTTTTTTTTGCTTGCGAATATTTTTTCGAAATCGGAAGTAAAATCGATTAATTGATTTTTTAAATTTGACATTTTTTCGATGTGGAACTGAACATTTTCATTAATTTCCCCTCAATTTCCTTCGTTTAGACAAGCTCGAAATGCCGTTGTGTTCGCACACGGTGGAGGAAAGCAAAGCCTTCGCACACAGCTCGGATTATATCGTCAATCAGGCAGTGGATTTACAAAAAATTTGGACGCGGGAGGATTTGTTCAATTGGGCGAAGAACTAATGCTTCGTGCTCAAGTGAAAGCTGGCGATGGTAATGACAATTTTTTTATCAAATTTGAATAAAAAAAAATAGTAAAAAAGATCTTTCAAAGGATGGAATCACACGCGTGTTTCGGATGTTACACTACAGAGGCTCGGATCAAATGGCGAAGTGCTGAATTCAGCCACTTTGATCAAATCAAACGGATGCATCAATCCACAAATGAACTCGGTGTGTTCGCTTCCGCCAGTATTTGAGCCACCGCTGGGTTATCGTTTTGGATTTCGTGCCGTCATGTTTCAAGGGATGAAAAGTGGCGATGAAATGATTATGACCGTTCGAGTTTTGGGATGCATGGATCATCATGATTGCCACTTGGTTTGGATTTATTTGAATTTTTTAAGAACATTTTTGTTTGATGCATCGACATGATATGAATTCGAAGTGAATTCATGAATTCGGATTTTTTTTTTCTGAGTCAGATAAAAAAAGTCGGTATTTTCAAACGATCTGATCGAAATAGTTTTTCCTACGAAATTCAACTAGAATTTTTTTCGCATTATATTGAAATAAAATCGAAGGAGGAGAAGAAGAAGTAGAGAAGAATCAGTATAAAATGCAAAAATTCTCAATCAAATCAAACATTTTATGTCTTATACTTATTTCAGGATCCCATAAATTGTGCAGACCATCAGACAACAAACCGGGTTCGGCGACAAGCGGAACGTGATAAGAATGCTGATAAAACACTGGAGCCTTTAGTCGACGTTTCGAATATATCATTTCGAGTCGTGATGCCATCCGATAGACAAACGATCAAATCGTTCAGTCACGAGACAGTCAACAACAGCAACAACAAAGGCGAGATTGCATTCTTCGTCACAGTCGCCGTTGTTAGTTTTTTAATTGTAATTGTTTTAATTATCATTAAGCAACGGGTGCATCGGCAATTTTTTGTATGGGATAAATATTGAATAAGGCTTCCGTGTGTGGAACTGCGCATTGTAGGAATGAAAAAAAAAAATACTTGAACAATTGAATGATTGATTGAAAACATCAAAAAAATGAATATTATACATGAAAAAATGGGAAAAAATCGAAAAAATGGAAAAAAAGTCGTAAATTTTTCGTTCTTAAAGTGTTTTTTTTCTCTTTAAGGAACGAATAGATTTTAAGTCGTTTAAAAAATGCTTTTCTTAGTTTAATGCAGAAAAAACTCGAATAAATCTGCTAAAAAAATCACTTCCCTGTGGATGTCACTTATTGAAAATCGTAAGTCAATCAAGAATCCGTATCATTTTAGTAATCCGTGATGAACTGAAGTCGAGCTGCGTGTGAATATGCCTCTAAGACCCTTTTGCACAATTAATTCATGTCAATATTTGAATTATAGCTCACGTCATTTTCTGCAACAAAACGATGACGTATTATTTGACTTTATAAAGGGTGTTTCAATAGGGATGTCCGAACTTTCTATTTTTCCAATATGGATCAGGGGCATCCAAGCTGTCAAGATATTTGACAGATGTGTTCAGTAAGGTCCAACAAATTAACCATGCAGCGCTATTCGATCAAACAACGAATCGAAATTATTCGAATTTACCATCAAAATTCATGTTCATTTTTTGCTCGAAAATCATCTTCAGCGACGAGGCGCATTTCTGGCTAAATGGTTACTTTAACAAGCAGAATTGTCGCATTTGGGGCGCGGAAAATCCTCGGCACATTCAAGAGGTTGAAATGAAACCGCAAAGTGCACTGTTTGGTGTGCTTTTTGGTCGAGAGGTGTCATTGGCCCGTACTTTTTTGAGAACGAAGATGGACAGCGAGTAAATGTCAATGCCGAGCGATATCAACACATGATTCGTGAATATTTCTGGTCGAGATTGCGTCGGATGAGAACCAGTGGGCTCCTATTCCAACAAGACGGCGCCTCATCACACACAAGTCCACCAACAATCCAGGTTTTGAACGAAAAGTTTGACAAACGCGTAATATCGAAAAATGGTGCTGTGAATTGGCCGCCAAGATCTTGCGATTTAACACCATTAGACTTTCTTTTGGGGTTTTATCAAAGGAAAAGTTTATGCAAATAATCCGTCGACGATTGAGGATTTAAAGGCCAACATTCGTCACGAAATCACCAGTGTTCCAGTCGAAATGTGCCAAAATGTCATCAAAAATTGGGCCGATCGGATGGTGTCACTAAAACGCAGGTGGTCATTTGGATGATATCATTTTCCATTATTAATGTTATGAATAGGGCTACAAATTACATTAAACAACTCGGATATATTCGAATATTTTCTGTGTTTTATTTCATTTTAAAGTTCGGACACTCTTATTGAAACACCCTTTATATGTCTTTGGTTGGCCAAACAATGATGTATTAATATTTGAAGTTTGTTCGGGTTTCAAGTGCAAAATTACGGTAGCACGTTCGCTCGTTTGGCGACAAAATTTGCTTTAACTAACACTGGAAATGACTTCATCTAATCCACGAAGCCGATAAATCTTTAAATAACCCACGATGACGTACATATTTACCAGCGCAAAAAGATGAGAATGGCGCTTTTAATGGAAAATCTATTAGACTCTGTCTGCCATGCATATGCTGCATTTGAGCCAAGTAAATATTTGTGCTCACATGTTCCGCGAACACACCAACTAAAGCCTCACGCCAGTTTTCTTTCTCTCTCTCTGCGCTTCAAATTTGAACTTGCGCCAATTTATAATTGCAGCACACAAAGTCATATCGGTTTTTAATTGATTGACGTATTGATTTGCCTGTTGATTGATCGCCTTTAAAAATAAAGATGCGAAAAAAAACAGACAAAGTTGCGTGTTGAACAATCCATTGAATGTTCTTTTCGGTGCACGAATGGCTGAAGTTGAAATGATGATGACATATTCTTTTTTGTCTTGTGTAGCATGTTCTCTTATGATGCGACGTTAATGTAGGGGTCATGTAAGAAAAGTGTATCGCTTGCACGAGATCACAAAATGTTCAACAGTTGTGGAAATGTGCGTTCTCTCTGTTCATATCCCTCTCTCTCTCTCTCCGCTTGAGGTGAAGATTCGTTTTTTTTTTGTGAATCGACAACTGTCATCAATTAAAATTGCAAATAGTCAGGGGAAAAACACACACAAATACATTTCATTCAGCGAATGTATCGACAAAGTATGTTCGCTTGACACGCAATCTATTTAAACTAATTCTGTGTTGTCGAATTGTTCAACTGATAATGTCTATTTATTTATGCAACACACAGCCAGAGAGAGAGAGAGATATGCAAAGAGATCGACTGTACACGGTATCCACGGTACACGGGTTTCGTGATTCAAAATTCGAATAGTAAATTAACTATATAGTTGTAGTTTTTTCTCTACTATGCATCGGCTTCGGAATCGAGTTGCGAGATCAAAAGCAGCAGTCACGAATGAATTGAAACAATCGAACGGAAGCTATTTTATAATATTAATGTGTAGTTGCTGGAATAGAAAGAATCACTTTTGTACAACTCGTCTACCTGTTTATAGGCCAGAATATGCGATTGAGATTGCGATTTTGGCCGCCTTAGTGCAAATTAGTCGGATGGGAAAATTGGTTAGATTTCATTCGAAATTCGACACGTTTTATGTTTTTAATCGATATTCGGTCGAGATAAGAATTGTTTCGATATTTTCCATCAGGGACGTGTTATCGCAATAACGTGGTACCAAATATAGAATATATAAACGCGAGTAGTTCTGCGTTCATTGTTCATTCCGGAGTTCTTTTTATAGAATGCATTCCATGGAACCAAATCTAAAATCAAAACGTTATTTCAAATCGCTGTCCAAAACAAGCTGCAAAATTGAAATCAAATGGCTTGTGTTGCATTTTATTTGAGCATTTTTTTTTCAGTGCACCTCATTTAAGAGCTCTTAGACTTTGTCGATACATCATGCGTGAGAATGACGTAGATTTTACTTTGTAGCAAAAAAGTATTGATGCGCGATTTTCATACGCTTTTGGATGTGGCAAAAGAATTTTTGCTTGTTTCACTCAAAATGAAATGCGAACCAAACATGTGGAAAATGCAAAGAATGAATCCATTTTGAGTGCTTACTTTAGATGGCTTGACAAATTATGTCTTTATTTCAACGTCGCTGTTGATCTGCCCGATTCTTTTTTTCCATTCATTTATTAATTTAATGAAATTGATCGCATACAAGCTGATTACTTTAAAGTCGTCGGTGCAATACTGAACTCTCACAGCAGCAACAGAAGAAAAAACGAAAGAAAAAAAACAAAGTCAATTAAAATTGCATTGGTCAAATAGCAATGAGAAGAATCCACGTTCATTTAACCGAATCGAATTTGAAATGCGATATGGCTTGATCGCACGCGCGATATTGCAAATGCATTTGCAAACCAAGCGCAACATTTTTTTAAAAGTAAGTTAAGTTTAATAATGCCATCGCAAATAAATTTAAGAGTGAACAAAAGAGACCGCATGCGACTAGTATAGGCAAATAGCCAATAAGGATCATTGGCAACAAGTTTCAATTGTTTAAGTTATTGAGAAAATAGAAGCCATAGTGAGAGACAGAACGAGCGAATCGGTAAATGTTAATTGCCCGGTTAATTGTTATTAATGCTTCACTCTTGGCTATCTCACGTAATGGTCTCGAATGTAACACACGATCGACAGGGCCCAAACCGTTCGCTTCAAGTGTTGCGAATTCAATAAGCGACCGATCGACCGATCAAGCCATTCGTTCGACCGCCTCTTTAATTAAATTTAGAATTTCAATGAGAATCGCAAATACATTCGTTCTCATGTCCAATTATTCCAATGAGAACATAATAACAACAACAACAATCGCGAATGGGAAACAGTTGAGGAATTTTTCGATTATTTCCATATGGCTTCATCATTTACGTTGGAGAGAGTGTGTGTGTGTGTGTACTATGTTTTCCGGTTTATTTAGAACACATTTAATGAGATTGAGAGAATTTAGGTTCCATCAACCGGTATGAACTTGAACACTATTCGTCGATATAGGGGAATTATATTCGAAAAAGCCCGCTTGCGGTTTTAGACCAAAGTCAAAAGAGCCCGAGTGGTAGACAGAGAGTTGGACTGAGAAGCAAAGACAGAGTCGGAGAGAGAGAGAGAGGGAACAAACTTGTTTTGACTCTTCCAAAACAAATTGAAAATAAAAAATGATATTTCATTGCCGAATCTCGACGAACAATCACTTCATCTGTGAATCATAAATCAAGCAACCGAATCAGCAATCAGTGTACAGAATAACAGAGAATTCTTGTTATTTGCACGCCCTTTGTTCGAAGAACGGATTAACACGAAAGATTTGTGGCTCATAGCAGGGACCGTGATAAGAACTCATTGAATAATCCCCGTTCTATGTTGATTAAACTATCATATTTCCGTGAATGATTTAAATCAAAATCGTGATTTGATGGTTGCATTGTTTGAATCGGTGTCTGCTGTAGGTACATACACACACTCACCGAAAAAAAAATGACAATGCTGAAGCTTTTTGAAGCTGATAATTTTATGCAATTCACACCAAACAAAGCGCACGACAATAACAATGATAATGCTTCAAAATGCGTTGTCTCTCGACTCTCGAACACTTTTAATCGAGAATCGAGGGATCAATGAATGTGAGCTCAATTGAGCTGAAGGTGAGGGGTACAATTCGACCTACCTGCAATGCTATAATCACTGTATACTCTTTAACAGCATTTCGTCGGAATGAATGTTGTTGATGCAGTTGTTTTTTATCTTATCTCTTCCTGTGTGTACTTTTATCACCCAATTTCATTCAATATTGCTGGAAATGTGTGGCAAATAATTGTTTCGCCGGGATTTGGCTGATGTAATTCTCTTTCACTTGAGATGGTGAATTTTTTTTTTATAGCGAAGTCTTTTTTCCGCTCTCTTGTCTTTTCTTTTTTCTTTTTTTTTGCACACTTTTTCTGGTTTTTTTTTTCTCTGACAGCCCCTTTACAACCACTGTTTATTTCCAACCAAACGCACTTGAAGCAGAAAAACATACAAAAACATGATT